TTGCAGTAATCATAACTGAGAGTTTAAGTGATAATTGACTGATGCAATCCAGAGCAACCATTTCTGCTGGTTAGTTATGGTTTGCATTTGACACAGAGGACAAAAGCCACATTGACCAAATATGTCCTCCCTCATATTTAGTTTATGACCTGTATCTGTTGAAGTTAGTGATAAAAAAATTTGTAGCTGCCTCCTTAATTCTTCAATGCCAATGCATTCAAAGATCAGAGAAACTGTATTTATTTTTGTATGCCGCAATGCAAATAATGTTATGCTAATTCAAATCAAGCCTATCAGTTTGAACTCATTGGAGGCAACATAGTACACTTGGCATCTGCTTTAGTCTTGGTTCATTGTGGGGGTTAGCCTAACAGGCAAACTCCCTCCCATCTCCAGAATCTTCATCCTCTCAATCTGAATGTGCAGTTGGAAAGTCTCCAGGTATTTGTGAAAGCACAAATGCATGGGGATGCATGATGTATACACAGCAAAATAAAAACTTTGAGCCTTCCTACTCCCCTGCAAAGACCACTTTTTCTGATGCCACTTCTTTCATCACTGAGATCATCCATGCCATAAAGATAGCTAATAGGTAATTCTTAACACAATGCCCACCTAATATTCTATGTTTTTTTTAAGGATATTGTCATTTTGGCATTGAATGAAAATTGTTGATGTGTTAGTCTTCAGAAACCGAGATAGTGTGATGTAGCTGTGAACCAGTGTGAAATAAATCCCTGCTAATATCTGATCTCTGGTGCTAATTTCTACTCCAAATGTAGAGTTTTATTCAGATTTCCATAATTGTACGTTGCAGTTGCATTTCTGTATATTTGTTTTGCTGTTATTTAAAATGGAAATCTGAAGTAAGTTTTATCTGAATGCAGCTGTAATTCTCTTAGTTTTTGGGTAGACATCAAATAGACAGCAGGTATCCCCAGAATGTAAACTCAGATACAGAATGAAGAGAGAATAGAGTTGTATTTGCTACTCGTGTGTTTTGTTTTGTTTTATTTGTTACAGATGTTTACAGTTAGTATCAGTTGATTCTAGTCACTCTCCAGCTAGTGAGGCAGAGCAGCTATGATTTATCCAAAGACTCTAAATTATTGCGCTGCTGTTCTCAAAATGTTTCTGATGAGGCAAGTTTTTAAATATTACTAAATACAAAAATGGCACCAATTCACTAGAGATACCATTTCCTCATTATCTTAGAAATGTTTTTTATGAACTTGCATTTCTCAAGAATGCTTGACCTATCTTGCCATAATGACATTGATTTCAGGTGAAATAAAAGTCAGTGATGTAACTTACTGGAGCTTACTGTTCCTGTTGGTTTTGGGAGAGGGGAGCTGATAAAAGGATGCAGAAGCAAAATGCAGGAATATGGCTACAAAACAATGCTCTGAGTCAGTTTTGCTTTGAAATAGAATGGTTTGTCACAAGTGACCTGTTTCTCACACATGCTGTTATTTCATTCAGTAATAAACACATTCTCCCCACCTTGTAACAAAGATTTCAAAACTGAATGTTTTACAGACTTCTTCAGAGCTTAATTGAAATGTTTTACTTGCCACTCCTTTGGGGATGTGGCATGTGCAAAAATGTGATCATGAATTTATTTTTGTACAGGGAGGGGCACAGCAAGGATATATACAAAGTGTTAGAGAAAATGAAAGGAGTTCCATCTAAAAACCTTAAGAACAGAGCAAAGTGGTGACTATTGTTGCAGTGAGCTAACTTACATTAGGCCCAAAGATTGTCCCCAACCCTCTTAACAGGCAGTTACAGTGCATAGGAACACTTGACCTTATTATCACAGCGGTAGTTCTGGAAAGCTCTTCAACAATGGATAAAATCTGTTGGTGCAGCATTAAACATTCTGTAATATAGAAAAAACTGGCAAAAGTAGAAAAATGTAGTGATCGCAATAATCAAACCTTTTATAGTCTTAAGCTGAAGCGAGACACTTCACTGAAGCTAAATTTGCACTTTGGAAAGTGTCTATCAGTAAAGAGTTAAATAAAAAGAATGTCATGCATGTGTATGTGATTCTAAATCCAGAAGTGTTACATTTCCTTTGTTGGCATTAGTTTCTGCTGAATATACAGGATATATATGGTGAAGACTAAGCCCTTCTGTTATTGGTCTGAAGTGTTTTAACAGAAGTGTGGCATGCTTGGCTGAAAAGACTGGAAGTTTTAACAGATCAAAGCATGTATATTTTGTTCTTGCTGGATATTTTTCTGCTTATCTATTTATGTTGTATTGACCACCTTCATTAGCAGGAATTTTATCTGGAGCAAGACTTCCTTTAAGAATCGTTAGTGTCTAAAGTAGTGGTGCATGGTAGAATTTTGTTTTGAGTGCTTAAAGCAAAAGCTTTTGAATGGTCTTTTGATTGATATTTGGTTTTCTCCAAGTATTAATTGCCATTTTTAGGATGGCTCCAGTCTTCATGGCTCTTGATGAAAAATAAAATGGATAGGAAGCTATTGAAACGTGCCATTTTTCTGATCTCATGTAATCCTCTACTTGCTGCTGTTGTGAGAGATGGAGTCGTTTATTGTTAGAGGATGTAGACTAAGTGTTGAATATTCAGGGAAATGGAAGCATCATGAGGTATTTCTGCTGGGTTGCTTTATTTTTCCTATGGTTTTTTTTAGGTTTTCCCCATTTTCAACTCAGCTGTCCAACAGTAGTTCAACAAAGTTTTTAGTGGCTGTGCTGCAGTGTACCCTTTTCTCTTGTAACTGTGGTGAGCCTTGAGATTAATCCTTCATGGGAGGGCTTGTGCTGGCTTTTTACGGAGGTACTCAGTAGAAAGAGGTTTTAGGAGAACTTGTGTTTCCTGAAGTCACCCACAAGTCCCTTTGCTGGAAGGCAGCAGATGAGGTGGCAGCTGTGCCACTTGTGCCCTTCCAACTAACAGTCCTATTCTGTTTCCCATAGTGCCTGTAAAAAGAAAATGTGTTATCTAGACTTGGGCAGAAAAGCAAAGCTTTTTAGAATGTGTGACAATAAATATTTTCAGTTGTCATTGTTCACAGCTCTGTAATATCCATGTGGACATATTACCTCAAGAAGGTTAATAGACAACTGTCACATCATATTCTCTTTCTTCCCTTACCCCTTCCTAAATTCACAGTAATTATGCAACCTTTTTCCTTGTAGTTTGGTTTGTTTGTTTTAGGGTTTTGTATGTTTTAATTTTCATCCCCCCTTTCTTTGTAACAATGGACAATTCATAATACCAAAAGATATACCCTAACAATAGCAAAGGTATCTTCTATGTGCTGTAAAAGCATAAAAATAAAGCAGGAGAAGATGACATATCATTGTCAAGAATACTAGATAAATAATACATTTGATATGATGGCAAACAAAATTGCAGGAAAAACAAGGGCAGATTTGACCATAATTGGAACAGCTGTTATTTGCACTGTCTGTTTTTTGCAGGATAGTTGTTTGAACAGTTGACAGCTGTAATGTCGCCTTATATAGGTTTTGTTCATATTATTTAGTGTGGGCTGTCTGTTTTGTTGGTCTAAGTAGACTACAGCTGTTTTTGTCAGAAGCACTGAGTAGCTATTCACCTGGTATACAATCCTGTTTCTCCTGGCCTTTCTTGATTGCTTTTCTTACAAACTCTGCTTTTTATCAGCCAAGAGAAAATTGAAGGCTTTTTTATTGTAGCAGACAAGCTTTGAAAACTTTTTAAGTGGATTTTAATTTTCCTTATGTAAGGTCATATTAATAAAAAACTTATTCTCTAGTTAGAAAATGGAACATGAAGTATGCCACTTGTATTTTGATCTATTTCATTCTTCATTGGGTAATTGCTTTTCTGTTTTCCAGTTTGACATTATGGATCAAGGTGGCAATGCTTTCCTCTCACAAAAGCTGAGATAGTTGCATAAAATGTCTTCTGACATTGCGTTTTCCTCTGCGTTGCTGCTTCAGAGAATATGGAATGCTTTGCTCAGTAGTTGCTTAAGCTGGGCAAATCCAAATCTTGGAGTTTGCTTCATGAAAGCCCAGGTTGGGTCTAGCAAGATTTACTAGCACAGGCTCAGTACCATGTGAATACAGCAATGGTATTTGTGGGGCCAACTTTTACCTCTGAAAATGTTAATGCTCTTTGCTTTTGTGCACTAAAGAAACTGAATTCTCATGTAGCTGCACCCGTTGCACCGTTAACTCCCCCAACAGCAAATCATTCTGCTATAACTGAGAGTTGAGCAAGGTTACTTTTTGTGAAACTCAATAGTTAAAATTCTGAACTAACTGTTAGGGAGAATGAACTCAAATAAGATCCTTCTGTATTAAGTTTTACTGTCTTTTTGTTACTTCTTTCTCTGTGATTTCCTTCATTTAAAGAAAAACCATCATGCCTTCCTAATCTTGCATCAGGAGTGTATCAGAGTCTTGTGATAAAATGTAGCATCATGCATCAAAAACTTGTGGTTCTTCTCTGCTATTGTCAAGGGCAACTGTTTGACTGCTTGTCATTGTGAAATTAAGTGAACAAATTGCTCTATTTTTTCAATTATTATTGCATCTCTTCAGGTTATCCTTCTTTTGCCTTTATCACTAATATTACAAATAGGTGTTTCTCCACAAGAGATAGGTAATTAATTCAGTTAATGTCCCTCAGCACCCTTTGAAAAAGGCATTTAAAAACAAGATTTCATGTGGGAAAATTGCATTCATTACTCTGTCAGAAACATAACACACACAGGTGTATTGGAACACTGAACTGTGTTTGTCTTAAGTGTTAAAACAGCTTAGTTTTCAGATTGCAAAGAATATTTTCACAGCTTTTAAGGATTGGAAACCCCTCACCCCTTCCCTTAATGAAAGCATAAATTCTACAAAAATGGAAGTGGCCACCTAAGAAGAAATTGATATTGAGGATACCAGTAACTGCTGATTTAACCTAACCTTCATTCAGATGATTTTCTTGAAGGATCTGATTAATTATTCTCTTACATTTGCAGGGCTAATTACAACCACATCCAGAAAACTAGACCGAGAGCAGCAGGGAGAGCACATACTGGAGGTAAATAATTTATTTAGATTGCCAAGAAACAGTGACTGTGAGTTCGTTGCTCTTTTACAGAGAATTAAGTTTGCCATGAAGAATTCAAACAAGTGGATTTCAGAAGTAATTTCTTTCTGTGCTCATTATGTTGCAGTGCAGATAACCACCTATCTTATAAAAACTGTGTGTTGAGGCTTTTTGCTAAAAAAGAGTAAAGGTACAGATTGAATGCAATTTTTTTTCTGTATCTCAAAACAAAGATTTACATTCAAATGGTACAAAGGCATGATTGTTAAAAGGAGTGTGATTCCTCTTTTTATCTTCCTGTGTAATTATTGGAATAGTTATTTCAGCCTAACTTTTGCTGAGTATAGGCGTCTGCAAAAGAAGTGCAGAATGTTTTTGTAATACAGAGAATGCAAGAGGATAGTATATGAGTAGCCTTATTTTTCTGCATAACATTTTTACCAGTCTCATCAGTTGCAAGACATGCATTGTAGAGCCCGAATCCAAGAGGATGAAACTTGAGACATAATGCTTTTATTTAACTACATTTAATCAATTGCCTGGAGTTTATTTAAGAGCTTTTGTCATTGTCTGTCAAACAACCTGAAAGGAAAACACATAGAGAACTTTGTCATCCAGTTTCACAATGTTGTCAAGCAGTGTAATGGTGTGGTACTTCTCCTGTAATGAAGACTTAATATTCACAGTGATCCTTATGTCCTAAGATTTATCTGGAATGTTTATTGTGCCTCTTGTCCTGGATGACAGATAAAAAACTATAATGGGAGTTGGCCAAATTAATATTAAAGACACAGAAGCACCTGTAGACTTACTCAAAACTTCCAGTAGGAGACAAATGACTGCAGAGGCGTGGAGATGAATGTATTTATTCCCTGACAGCACAAACTATCCTTTTGCATAATTGCAGTATATGTGCAGTATATGTGCAGTCTTCCTGGGCCTTTTGTATCCCTTTGGTGCATTGTGAGCTGGATTAATGCAGCTGTTGGACCAATTTTTTTATCATTATTTAAATTTCTGTATCAGCTTTGAAAAGAATGCTTTGTACCTAAGTAGCAGTGGGGCAGAATTTCTTCTGCAGTGTGTTTCTAGAAGTAATAGTAACAAAATTAATTAAATGGCAAATCTGATATAGTACTAGACATAATATTCCTGTATATTTTAAAGTAATTATATAATTCTCTTTTCCAATTTGCCTCCTCAGATCGGGTTGTCTCAGTTTCCCAAAACACTCCATGTCCATTATGTTTTATTTCTTGACCACTGCTATGTATATTGGTTGTAAAATTGGTAAATCATTATTTTTACTTCTCTATATATTATACTGTATTTTTTAAATTAGATTTTTTCAGTAAATAAAATGAGCTGTGGATTGTTTTCTGATCCTGAGGCGACATGGCCCATATGGCTTTGATTGCTTATACCTTATCCCTGGAACAGAGTGACCACATGTTGAAAATTGTGTCTGAATTGTGTGAATTCTCAGGCTGCAGCTAAACAACATGTGTGTGCTACTTGTTCTGGGCCAAAACTTATGCCAGAAGTCACACTCATGGTGTACTGTTATGGGCAGTTGTCTGCTTGCAGTCATGCTAATTTAAGCTTAACTTTATAACCTTAAGCTAACATGTACAGAACTCAGAAAGTTTATTTTTAGGATTGCAATGTCACTTAACGGTACCTAAATCCTCCTGCTTTCATCATTCTGTATAAAATAGCAATTTAAGCTCATTGCTCTTTAGTTTGGAACATTGTTTATTGCCTACTGGTGTAATTTATAATTCTTTATTCTTTGTTAGTTTTGAATCCCAACTGGTTGCTAAAGTTTTAACTAAAAGTCTGTGAAATATGTGACAGAAGAGCTCTTAACTACAGATCCACACTGACAGACAGCCTGGCCTAAAGTAGCCGTTTTCCCATGTGTTAGTTTTATGTTTACAACTCTGATAATAGGTTGGAAAGAAAGCTGGAAATGCACAGAATGGTGGACAGACTCAAGTGCTAAGCTAATTAATTGAGCATTGAAATGTTGACCAGATGGGTTAGTGATTTTATTCCTTTTTAGTATTAAATTTGATCTTTGATTGAACTTCTACTTACATAATAGTAACTAATATGCCCCATTTTTTTATTCCCAGTTTGTGTTTTTTGAGTTCCAATTCACACTTTCTTATGCATTTATTTTAGCTTAGCTTCATGTTATTCTCTCATATCTTAGTGTACTCTTGGTCGTCAGTAATGCCTTCAAAACTGATGTTTCATTCAAATCAAATAGATGTTTCTCAAATTTGCCTTTGTTATTTGCTTGGTTCAGGGCAATGCTAATTTTATGTTAATTGCCATATTATCCCATTCGCCTTGTAATGTATTTCATCCCTCATTTGGGATATGCTTTTATTTTCTCATCGGGTGTGGTTGGGTTTTTTTTGTGAACTGAAAGGTATGTGGTGGTGTTCCATTACAAGTCCTAAAGGGAACAGATATTCAAATATGTGGAAATCACCATCTGTTAGAGATGAGCATGAATATTTGCGTTTCATGTTGCATTAAACGTGTCAAAATATTAGGATAATAGTTGAATATACTTTTGAGTACCTTTTGTAAATACTTAATAGCTTTAGGCAAGTGCTTTAACTGAAGTTAGGGGATAACTGTACAGCTGTTTAGGCAGCTGTAGGAAAACCTCATTTATGGAGGAGCATTGTTGAAGGCGCAAGTTTGAGCTCTAACTTTACCCTTGTTGATAAAAACAGGTAACAGTAACAGACAATGGTACTCCCGCAAAATCAACAATTGCACGGGTGATTGTGAAGGTCTTAGATGAGAATGACAACAAGCCTCAATTCTTGCAAAAATTCTACAAAATTCGGCTTCCGGAGCGTGGTAAGCCTGAGCGAGAGAGAGCTGCCAGGAGAGAGCCAATCTATCGAGTTATTGCTGCAGATAAAGATGAAGGCCCCAATGCAGAGATCTCCTACAGCATTGAAGATGGTGATGAACATGGCAAATTCTTTATTGAACCAAAAACTGGAGTGGTTTCATCAAAGAAGTTTTCTGCAGCAAGGGACTACGATATCCTTTCAGTGAGTGAAAATCCTGTATATCATGAATATGTAACATGTTCTTTTATCTGTTCATTTCTTATTCAGTAGCTGACAGGTGAGTGACTGCAGTATCTGAAGGAAGAAAGCTTCTACAAATCCAGAAGTATTGTTTTGTGTGTTTGTTTGGTTTTTATTGAGGGATGATTTGAGATGTTTATATTGTGTATTAAGAACTGCCGTTCTTTCCCAGAACTTGGCAGATAATTTATGTGATGAGGGAACATAAGCAGTCAGTTTGACTCACCTTCAGGAAGAAAGCAAAATAAAAGTGAATTTATGGTAACAGTTTGTGCTGCTATCAGGTGCTGCATACTTTTTCTCCATTTGCTGCCCAGATAATGAAGGGCAAGTGGCACTTTGAGAGACACTTAACCTTTGTGGAAATATCTCACACGAGCAAACATGCTTGGAGCTTATTACTGCTTTCTATTTATGTGACATAATGATTTATGTGATCCTGTGGCCTAAAAGATGTGTCTGTTTCGCAGATTAAAGCTGTAGATAATGGTCGCCCACAAAAATCTTCGACTACGCGGCTTCACATAGAATGGATTCCAAAGCCCGTCCCACCCACAGAGCCTATTTATTTTGAGGAATCATTTTTTTCTTTTACGGTGATGGAAAGTGACCCAGTTGCTCACATGATTGGTGTAATAGCTGTTGAACCTCTTGGAACACCACTTTGGTTTGACATAACGGGTAAGGATGCCTTAAGGGCCTTTATTATTAGAAACAAATGCATGGAGTCTGAGATACTGGAGGGCTCATTGCAGCTTGATTTTAATCACTTTTCAAATAAATAATGCTAGGTTTTGACATTCCTTAAGTGCAAATGTGGATTTTATAAGTCAAAATTATTTCATTTTTATCAATGCCACTCTGTATCAAAGATGAAAATTAAGTTGCAAAATATCTGCAGTGTTGCAGTTTTAAAATTGATTTCTGAATATTGAGTTGCTTCAATGAAAACTAATGAAGTCAATCTCATAGACTGTATGATAGGAAAGGAAGTGAGAGGCTAGTTTTCTGCAAAGCAGGATAGTACGCTCAAAAAGAAATTTTACTCATCACATGGATTTCTTCTCCTCTGGGCTGCTACTCAGTTTGCTGTCCTTTGATTCAGTACTAAAAGGAAAGCTTGCAATGTTCCTAACCCCAGCAATCTTCTTCTTGTACATATTCTTTCTACTAAATCATATCTTAACCTCTACTATTGAAAGGCGATTTCTAACCAGTAATAATGACTACATGTTGATTTCAAGGTAACAAAATTAACAGTACTTTTCTGAAGTTCAGACCTAGTCACTAGACTTACAAGCACCAGTAATACTCAGTGTTCACTGCATAGCTGATAGTAAAACCAAGTTCTGTTCTGTGCTAAGTGTGTTAGAATCAAGGAGAATGGCATAGCTTTGTTTCAGGAGAGGTGCCTTGTAATGAACTGCTTCTAGTCTTAAGTGAACTCTTTCTCTCAGTCTGCCAGATTCTTGATAGATTTGTGATTTTTCTACTACATTCACAAGAGAAGGATCTTTTTCATCTTGGTTATTACTGAGAACTTTAGCCATTATTATGATGTTAAGCTGCTGGGAAGAGCATATTTTAAATTAATTAATTTATTATTTTAATTTATTTCTCAATAATTTAAGTATTTTAAACATCTGTTTTGCTGGTATGTATTTCCTGAGGTGTACTGAGAACAGCAACAGTTAAAAATAAGGTTTATGAAACTAACACATGTAGCAGGAATATACAAATGCCAAATTTCAAAAAATTTTCAAGGACATGCAAACAGATACAATTCTTCCCTAAAATCATGCTTCATGCATGAACAATCTGTAATGAAAGTGATAATCATTGCCAATGCATTAAATACTTACAGAATTACAATATAAATTTTAAATGGTTCTTTTAAATGTATTCTTGAAAAAAAAAGTTCCTGTCCAAATAGATTATAATTGATAAAAAGTGTTGGTGTTTAGACAAACCTAGATCTGTACAGCTCTCTAGAGGGACTAAAAAGTGAGGATGCTTTCTTGCATTCTTATAGGAGCAAAGTTCTGCATTTGATGTGTTTTGGAACTGAGGCTACTTTTTCATTGTTCTCCCAAACACACTCAGGGATGTGGGAGTAGAAAAGCAGAAAGTATAAAAATAACTGAGCAGGAGAAATGAGAAGGTATTGTGTACTCCAATTTGAATTAGGGAATCCATAGCAAACAAGTGTCTGTGGACCGAAATGAGTCCATTAAAGGAAAGGTTAAGAAAATGACATTGTCAGAGAAAGGTGAGCAGTTCATGGAGATGAAAGAGAGTAGATAGAATAGGCCTCAGAGGCTTCTTGGAATCTGAACGCAGTACAGCAGTGATTTTTTTTCTGGAGCCTTTTATTAGCAAAATTTGTTAATTAAATTGGGGATGTACTTTCCTATTGTTCTTAGCATGCCTCAGTTGTTAAGCACTGTGAACAGTGTGTACATCTGAATAGAATTCTAATTGATAGTATTATTTTGATCTTCTCCTTCTAAGTGTGCATCACAGTTGGACATTTACATATTCTTATTGTATGCCAAATGCAGAAAATGAATGATCTTTTCGTGCTCTTTTTAGAAAGACATATACAGAAAACTCCATGGGGAAAGAGCATAACTTGTCCAAACATTGTTAAATAAACCATTTTATTTTGACAGTTTTCTTAGTATAAGTGTTTTGGAAAATTTGATATATGATCATATTGTGAAGTTATGGGCTACTCTTACAGGTGGTCACTTTACCACCCTCTTTTACTGTTTCTAATAGCATGAATGAATTTGATTGACAGCTTTCCTTTGTGTTCTGTGCTTGCTTTCCATGCTTTCTTTCTTTTTGGCTGAGCCAGGAGACAAGCTTGCTAGTGAAGTATTTTACATCTTACAGATGGCTTGTGACCTGAACTGTACAGCAGAAGGTATCTGCTGAGATCACATAATTTATTACCAGATTATGAGATCTGAAATGAAAGCGTACATTTATAAACTATTTATTTTATTAACCCTTCGGAAATCAAAGTGCTCACGGTTGCATTTGTGACAGGTTCGTTTTTGTTTTGTTTTGTCATCATTACATTTATACAGCATCAATTCTGAGCATCCAGTTTTGGCTTTGGCCAAAATTGTTGCTGTTACACTTCAGTGTACTAGATGCAGAAGTTTGGGTTGAGTTCTGCTTCAGCGGATCACCAGATATCACTGCTAATATAAATACAGGCAAGGCCCTGGTGATTTTCTTGGTAAGGAAGGGAAAAATGTTGGTTAGAGAGCTTGTCCTTGTGTAGGGAAAAGTGGCTGAACCAATTCATGCTCACTCACTTTACTCTTCCCTTAAAATGTAGAGGACTTCATTGAGACATCTGAGAAAATGATTTTGCCTGCCAGCTATGAAAGGAAAAACTAGATTCACCTTCTAAAACTGACATACTACACAAATACCATTAGAAAAATTCATGTTAAGAAAAAAGCTGCTGCCTTTCATCATGTCCAGTTTCTATCCATTTGAGTGATTCAGAAACTGCTGCTGGACCAGAAAGAGGAGTTGGCTTTCAGTTGAACTAGAAAAATTATGTGATGTTGGTCATTACCAAATATCTCAAATCCAGTGAAGCAGAATCCAGCCCATCTTTCCTAAACTGATATGTTTGTCATGCAGTGGAACCTTCTAAAAGTGAAATCCTTTTTACATGTGAATGGAGGCTCATTTTAGTATTTACTGTTTTTTTCTTGGACTAAGTTCAAATTTGCAACCTTTGGAACTTCATCCTCTCAGTTCTAAGCTTGGCTTTTCATAAAACGCATTTAGTGATTTGCAAAGCTTAGCATGTATAATCTTGTTAAAGGAAAAAAAAGCACTCAGATGATATCTGAATGCTATCTGCTAGCCTTGTAAAATATAATTAGAAAAACACATGCCCATAATTAGGAAAAACTGGTTTGCCATATCTAGCACTGGCTTGACCAAAATAAGAATTGATTCTTCCATTTTAGGCAGTTTATTGAGAGGTCTAAAGCAATTGTAGTTAAATGGCAGTATTCATCATCCCTAATAGTATTTGGACTTAATGGACATTGCATTCTCAGGGCAGTCTGCTCCAAGTGGCAAGATGATGATCAATTAAATGTTTAAACAACTGAGTGTAGCTATTGATCTACACAGTTATTTAACTATATTTCAAAGAGTAATTTGAAAGTTTCACAAGGGAAATTAAGATAATTAGTTTCAGAAAAGGAACTTGACCATATTTAAACATTGGACATTTAAACATTTAGTACTATTCTGTCTCAGTAAGACTGAGATAGTCAATTCCTTGGATGCTCAACATTACAATGATAATCCTTTGGAGGTACTGCAGCTTTTTCAGCCTTATCTATAATCATATATGAATATAATAATATGTATTTTACTCCAAAAGACAAAAATTTGACTGTATGTCAAATGGGATTTTAATGTATTTTGATAAAAAGTATGTTTTTCACTTATTAGCTGATAATCTTCCCAAAAGAAACTATTGCATTTGATGTAGTAATTCTCAATTTCCTGCTGTATGGAATCATTAAATTCCATGGTTTTGGTTTTTTTTTTTATAAGTAGAGAATCTTGCTAATAAGAATGTCCCTGATGACTTCCCACAAGCTGGGCAAGTCAGCTTTGTCCAATACTACTCAGTTTTAAATATCTATTAGCAGCATATCATGTTACCAGGAAAAAAACCTAAAGTATTTAAACTAAATGTATGTATAAATATATGTATATATATTTCCACCTTCATTAAGCATTGAAAGACAGAACATGATCATACATAAAAACGATGATACAATAATGCATTTTATTAACTTCTCCCTCTCACAATTTCCTGAACAAGGTGGCAACTATGACAGTCGATTTGATGTGGACAAGGGCACAGGAACTATCATTGTTGCAAGACCCCTTGATGCAGAACAGAAATCAAATTACAACTTGACAGTAGAAGCAACAGATGGAACCAGATCTATCAGCACTCAGGTAATAAACTTTCTGATGAAGCACTTATAAAAAGAGTATGTAGCTGGAGAGTGGGGAAGCTGTTGGGTTTTCTTCTCACCATTTTTTTAATCCTAGGCAATGAACATGGTTTGTTCAAATTAGGGACTTTGTCTAAAATAGAAGTGAATTCTGATATTCACAGACCCATGTTGTTTGGTGGCTTAGGTGTAAAGGTGGTGTGTTACTATACTGTAGTCTGAACCAACAGTTTTTAAGTTATAACATGTTCCTGCAGCTAAATAAATGAGAACAGAAACTAAGCCCCTGCATGCATGACTCTCTTACAAGAAAAGGATTTATACTACTCATCTGAATTACTCCTCCTTACAAGCTTCTCCAAAATCACCACATGAAGTGATTACTGTACTTGAAATTTAAAGTCAACTATTTTAAAATTTTGTGGTTCCCCTTCCCTGGAAGATCTGTGGATGACCAGTTGTACAATATCCAAGAAACTAAGCTGCTTTTTCTGCATAGTGTACATATAGAAACAAGGTTTAGATTATAACATCTCTTTGTATTCTCCCAAATACTTTATTTTAGTTTTGGTGAAAGTAGAGATTGTTTAGCAATCTCCAAAAAAGCAGCAACCTCAGACAGACCAATGTTTTAAAATTACCTTTTTACTGAAGCTCTCTCTGATGGTGGCAATTCTTTGCAGTTGGACTAATAAGTTCACTTAAAGCTGCAGAAGCCTTTTGTGACAGTATTGTCTATTTCATAGTAATGTAGTTTATTATGTATATCCCACCTGTTTTTCCCATCTAGTGTCTTTCCCCATCCCAGAACCTGAATATATTTGAGAATACAGCTTAGCTGAGGTTGGTGTGAGAAGAGCCATGATTAAAGAGGAGCTTCTCTTTTCTTACAGATAGAAAGGCAAGGTTTTATTTACTGATTAAAGACTGTTGGGCTTGGACAGTGATGTGTCTGTATTACCTACCCCTATCATTGACCTTCCCTTCAGGCACTCAAAGAACAATAAGTGGGTTGCTGCTGTCTTTCCTGTACATGGAGATCTGTGCTACAAATACAATTTCTTCTTGTTCAGCTTCTGTGCAGTGCATATGTTTTTCTGTAATGTTTTCTAATGTCTTATATGTTGTCTTCTGCTTTTAGCCAGAAGATGTTTTTTGTCAATGTTAAGGATTTTAAACAGAATCTTTATTGAGGTGGCTGCATGTCTGGAGGCTTGATAGGTGAGATAGAGTAAATTTGATAGTGGAAGGTGACCAAGTTTAGCAATTTCCTTTAAGAAATGCCTTCTCTTAAGAGGTGACAATTGTGAGTGATTTTTCTAGACCATGACTCTTCAAAGACAGCAACGTGTTTCCCAGTAGGAGCTTTCTGTAATCATAACTGTGGTGCCATTGCCTCTGGTGCTGATAACCACCATAAACAGTTTGGAGAAGAATCCTGCTGTAAATTTATTAAATTCGCCTACTTGTAGTAAAAATATTGAGCAGATTCTTTTCCAGTGATTACAGGATGCTGGAGAGAAGGCAGGAATTTCTCAGAACAAAAAAATAGAGGAAACACAAATTCAGCTAACATTCAAAAGACAGCAAGAGGCTTCTCCATACACACTTTCCCCCCACTACCAAAAATGCATTCAAAGATGCCATCATACAGGGTGTTGGGGTAGCCTGGGGACTAGGCAAGGCTTAATGTAGGGCCTTGGTGAATGCAGATAGCCTGTCCAGTGCTGCTGCTGGCATAGCTGAATTTATGCACATGTCCTGGGCTGTCACAGTTGAACCATAATCTGCGTTGTCTTTTAGAACAACCAAGAATGGGAAGGTCAGAAAATTACTTTAACCCTCACCCCTTCTTTTCCTCTGAGTTATGTGATTCATTTAGTTCTTCTTGGGGAATGCACAGTGTACTTTTTGTTCCTTAAATGAATTTGTTATTTTAACATTTTGTAAAGCTAAGTGATCATTATAAACATTTACCCCACAGCACTCTTCTCCAGAAGAACTGGAGTAGTAGTCTCACATTTGTAATTTCTGTGACTGCTTTTTCTGTGATTGTTTTTCATGTCTTTCTCTTCCTCTCCCAGGCTTGGCAGGATCAGGGACTGTGGTTTCTGTTACAAACAAGCACAAAGGCTTCCTGTGCCTTGTCTTTCTTTTGCCCTACTCGTGGGATAAGCACAAGTTACACTGTTGTTGCTGGAGTCTCAGTGTGGTGTATTAGATTGAGGTGTGGATTTATTCAAACTCTGCAACTGTTGGTGCATGATCCTGATTTTAATTGATTCTCTTATCTCCCCCATAACTCCTGGCCCACCCAAATGCACTAATCTGTTAAAATAATCCTCAGGACTATTCCTCAAAAGATGCATTTCAGATCAGGCTTAAATTAGGGGGTTAAAAATGTTGATACAAAATCAAATTTGAAGGTGTGATTTATGGCTGCCAGTGTGTAAACTCCATTACTCGCTGCAAAAATACTGATGATTGAAGTTTAAGTGCTGATGTGGCATTGGATTCTTCTAAGAGCTGATGAACAGTTAAAATGGAGTGACAGGCAAAAGAAATTCTGAATTCTGAGTGCATACATGAGGAACAACAATATGCCATACAGAGCTTTTAGCTTACAAAGTAATTGCTATAAACACTGGATATAACCAAATTAACAGATCTTGATTAACAGCAGAGTAAGTAATTTTACATTTAATTTGAAAAAGGAAATGGCATTTGCAAGAAATTGGGGAGGGGCACAAGAAATGAAAACCTTACTGTGTAAAAGCAGTGTATTGAATCTGACTTTAAACTGGAAGGCATTTGCTGGCCTCAGGCCATTAACATCTGTAGAGCATTTGACTCTTTCAGGACTTCAGTTAAATAGCTTTTTTGAAAAATAAAGCTATAGTAGGCGTGGAGTCTATTAGAATTTTGCATGCATCTAAATGCCAAATGCATGAGGCAAAACAAGGACAAACAAATTCCAGGCCTACAGTAGTGGTGTTTGACATGATGTTAGAAAATACTAGTGTCAGGCTTGGAAGGATTATGATTAAAAATAAAATAAAAGTGCAGAAACTAAATAACTAAATCCCACAAGTCAGCGTACCTATGTACTGAAGCAGAAAATGTTATTCACAGGCTCTAAGTAGTGATAAATGAACTATTGAATTGATTTTTGGGGGAAAACCAAAAGAAATGGTCCTGTTTCTAGCTATAGCCACTTGCAGTCATTGAAAGAAATCGATATATATAGCATTGAAAGTAATATTTCAGATGGTTTACAGCTAATTGCAGCATTTTACCTATTGCTTTGCTATTGCAGAATATTTAATGTTACTTTTTTGCAAAATCTATATGGACATGATATTTTGGGAATGCAGTATAGAATAATCTTCATTTACTATATCTTTGCTTGTAATTTTGCTTGCAATTACATTGCTCTACAGAGACAGAGCTGGAATGAAGTTATATCATCTCTGGATAATACAACTTTTTATATATGAAAATTATATAAACATGCCAATGTAACTGTAATGTAATTGTGGGACAGGAGTAGATTTTAAACTCCACACAGAATCAGTAAATGAAAAATGATATTAAAGTAACCTAAAATCCAAACATTATGTTTAAATAGTGCACATTGAGTGTGTTTTGTCAATCGCACATATCTCCTCTTACTAGCAATCAGTACATCCCTATGCAAATTTAGGTTTCACCTGTCAGATTATTAATAGATTTTTAAGTCCTTCCTCAAAGTAATCCTGCTTTGTTCTCTTATAGCCAGTGTACATTGCTCTCAGTGGGATCTGTGGGCAGAAGGCAGCTGTGCAACACAACCCTTGCATATTTTTGCAAAATAAATGAAGCTTCTTTAGTTCCAGAGCATTTTGTTTCAAAGATCACGTTGTGGTCTGCTGATGTTAAGCTTTTCTATATTGTGCCTCTTTAATGTGCAACTCTTTCTTAAGAGATAATATTAGCATATTTCATTTGAATTGAATCTTGTCATTTCATTGAGAAATGCTCAAAAGTTAGTTTTATTTTATACTGCATGTTATGTTAGAATAACACAAGTTCTTCGTGTGTTCAGACACACTAAACCATATTTTTCTGTATGGGTCTTTAAAACTGCACTCACAGTTATTTCTGCAAGTGCTTTCCCTTTAACTTCAATGTCTTACCAGTTTACATGAAAATTTGGTCCTCTTACAATTAAAAGGTAATTGCACATCTAGCACCTGTCACTTAGCCTCAGTAAGAACTCCTGAATTGAAAATAGGGTTTCCTTACTAAATTTATTAAATATTTATTTAATAGTTCACATTGGAAAGAACCCTGGAGTTCTAGTTAAAACTCCTGGTCAAAGCAAATCCAACTGCAAAGTTGCCTAGTTTTTCAGTGACTTGCTGTAACTGCCTGGGTTGACTTAGCACAACACCTCTCCCTTGGACTTGCTTTTATACTGATGTTTAATCACTCTCCTTGAAAAAATAGTTCTCTTAAGTCTAGTTGTATTTTCTCTTATTGGAGCTTGTGGGTATCACCTCCTGTCCTTTCACTGAGCACCTCTGAGGAGAGTCTGGCTCTCTTTCCTGCGTCCCCCCTGCGGAGAGATTGCTTTTCAATCCCCACTGATTTTAATGACCTCTCTCTCATTGGATTTGTTTCATTTTGTCAAGGTGTCTCTCCTGTACTGCAGGAGTGGAGGTAGTGAATCTACCTTCCCACCAGTGAGTGTCAAACAGAAGGGGGTAATTCCTTCCCCCTGCCCTCATTAAAGCAGCCCAGTGTGCCAAGTTAGACGAGTTACCAAAAGGGAACCCATCGGGTCACATCATGCTTGTCCACCAGAATTTGTGCAGGGGCATAAAGTAATAACGTCACTGAGAGAAAAAGGAATCCTAGAGTGTGTAGATAAAACTCTTGAGTTTGAAAGAAACTTTGGGTTTTGCATACATTTAAAATGACTGCACTAATATATGAAGTTGTGTATTTGTGGTGTTTGTCAGTGTGGAGAAAACTGCAACTAGTGTGACAAGTAATGGAATACCTGAGCTAAACCTTTGTAGTGACTGAGTCACTATGTGTATTTCTTAGCAATATTCTTTTTAATAATTCAAATTTAATAATGTTGTACATTTTGAGGAGCTAACTCCTTATCTGTTTACCCCAACAGTACTTTCTGGAGGATTTCTCCTTATGTGTCATTTTAATTGCTTCCCTAGCTAATACCAGATTTGATGCCAAATCCTGATCAACAACTCACTTTTCAGTTAAGCTGGTTCATTGGATATATGGCTAGTCCTGTAGGTACTGATGCTGGTTTTAGAGTCACTACATTCCTGGCATTTAACTTAGTTGTTTGCATGGGGATTTTGTGGTGCTCCATTCTAGTAATGCTATTTTTCTTTATTTGTTTTGTGTACTACCAACAGCACAGGTGGCCATGTCTTCTGCTCCAAAGATTTGCTTAACAGAATTGCTCTGTAGTTGCAAACCTTCTCAGTTCCAATTTTAACCTATGTTTCTGTGTTTCCTCATTTGGGAGTGGAAATAGACATGAAATTAGATAGAGATTTTAATTTAAATTCATTGCATTTGACACCTCATCTTTTCACTTTGGTGGGGTTTTTTTAATGAGTCTGGCCTTAATAGTTTCTTGGTGATGGAAAGTTAATAAAATAATTGGTGATGAGTTCATTTTGAAAGCACATTATCCATTAATGAAGTGTTGTAATTGTATATGGCCTTTAAAACTTTCATTTATGCAGAAGTTTTTTTATGGTTTGACTTGTATTGAGTGTTGGGGCTTTATATTTTTTTAAATTGTTTGTTCATCTTCATTTGGTATAATTTTTAATTTTCCTGAGCACAGTTTTTCAGTGAGCAGCTATTTTTACTCAAATACTTTGTAAGTGTATTAGAACTTTTTGTCTTCTTCCACAAGGCATTATAATGTATTTCATTTATACAAGATTTTGGTTTATTGCATCCTGTTTAATCATGACAATGTAAAAAGATCACATTTTTTATGTAATACTTACTCTTAATTTTCCAAGTTAATTTGTTAGTTAATGTATTTAAAAACTTGTCCTAATATGTATCCTGGGTCACGTACCATTAATATTTCTCCCCACTGAAAGTCAATAGTTAGTCTAACTCTTTGTTTTTTTTCTTGAATCTGTTTCTAATCCGTGACAAAACCAAACTCCTTAGTCTCCATAGCAACATCTTGCAAGGGATCTTATCAGTGTGCCAAACTATTCAGTTTTAGAGTAAGATGCTAGTTTTGCAAGGTTGACATTTCTTCTTCCTGTAGCAAGAGCCTTAGCATTTCCTAATTATTTGACACTCTCAGGATTCATCTAATTTAGTTTCTTCTGCATGCGGTTTGATACCTTGTCAAAATTACACCTGCAGACTCCACCAGTTAGCAATGGAAAGCAGTAAGTGTCTCCAAAGAGTAATTTAACCCACTTACAGAATTGTAAGTCCCTATTTTAAAAACCTGTTTATATATAGCCCTTAACAAATGTGTATAAAGCCCCTAGCCTTTGGATGGATAGAAGCATGGCTGTACGTGCAGCACATAAAGAACCCGAATTTAGCTGTGTGTTGCTGGAGTTTTGCTGTCTACTTGCCAACTCCTTTGCATTCATGTTATTTGTCTGATGTTATCACTGTAGAAGGAACAGGATGATGGCTGTCTGTCTCACCCTTTTCATACAAAACTTTGGTGCTGTGTAATGCAAGTGGGGCTGCAGGGATCTCATGTGGTTCCAGTGAGCAATATTGTACAAAGATGCAAATTGAAGCATCAGATTTAATTTAACTGTAACTTCAGAGAAATCGTGTCGTTGACCAATGAGCTATGCTGAAATTGGGCTACATTGCTAGAGAATAGTAAACAAAACCACCTACAGTTCTTCAAAATAATGCACTTCTATGGCAATTCCACCACTTCTCTATTCTTGTCTTGGCTTGCAGATGTGAGGGGCTGAAAGAGGACTGGTTTCATGTGAGGGCAAGGAGGAGTACTATGCATGCACTGCCTTGAGAAAACATCACTTAAAATTGTAAATTTGCACCCCAAAGCAGTACTTTTACCTACTCTAGGATCCATATTGTATATTTTAAATTTTTAATTCCAAAATTAGCAAGGAATTTTTTTTTTTGTCTTCCTTTGGACAAATATGATTCCCTTTAAGATGTCTTATCTAAGATGTTTCTGGTTGTATAGATTTCTTGTTTGACTTCGGGGAAGGTGAGGCAGATTTGGCTTTCGTGACATTCTTCTTCCCTACACGTCTTGAATCTCTCCTCCTCTCAGCAAAATAAAATTGTCTTGAGTTGTTATTACTTCAGTATCATGGTCTAATTTTTAATAAAATATCCTCCTTTCATTTATTTTTACCAAATATCATCAATGTTTTCCCTTTCCCATTGTATCATTTCAGGTGTACATCAAAGTTATAGACACAAATAATCACAGGCCTCAGTTTTCTGCTTCAAAATATGAAGTTGTTATTCCTGAGGATACCTTACCAGAGACAGAAATTCTGCAAGTCAGTGCCACAGACAGGGATGAGAAGAATAAACTGATTTACACTATGCAAGGCAGCACTGATCCCATTAGTCTTAAGAAATTTCGTCTGGACCCTGCAACTGGCTCCCTTTATACCTCAGAAAAACTGGATCATGAGACCATGAACCAGCATATTCTCACAATAATGGTGAGTACGCATGAGATTTCTTCTGTTGTGAGTTACACGCAGATACTTTTTAATGTCCTTTTAGTTTGTCCCCATAATTCAAACGCTTATTTGTACCTTCAATTTTTGCGCAGTCTTTGACTCTGTGGCTGATTGCACCATGAATTACTGCTAGTATCTGGTGAGCTACTGAAATTCCAGTGGTAATTCCTGGTGATGTGCTGACTGTTGCAGGTCCGAGATCAAGATGTTCCTGTGAAGCGCAACTACGCCAGGGTGGTGGTCAATGTCAGCGACACGAACGATCACGCCCCGTGGTTCACCAGCCCTGCCTATGAAGGACGAGTGTATGAGTCAGCAGCTGTTGGATCAGCAGTGCTCCAGGTTACAGCATTAGATAAGGACAAAGGAAAAAATGCAGAAATTGTGTACTCCATTGAATCAGGTATAGTCACTTTCGTACATTTCCAGTCTGTTGAAGTCGCTGGTAGTTTTTCAACTGTAGACATGTGGAAACATATCTGTGAAAAAGGGGAGACAGTTTGTGTGGCAGGTTTATGTGCCATATTCTGAGAGATGTATTGAAGACACAGCCTCAGAGTATTTAAAAGAAAATTAAAAATATTCATCTACATCCTTTAGCTATTTATGTTATCCTCTCAATACATTTGGCATATTTTAGTAGTAGGGGAAGAAAAAGCCATCTTGGGATGCTCAAAAGGAGTAATTTCTTTAGAAATTACAGAATCTGTAATTTCTGTAAGAAATCATTCCATTCAGGTCTAAAATTGCATTCTATTTTGATATTGTCGGTCTTATTTTCTGTGGCTTAGGCAAAGCAAGGATTTGATGAATAGAGTAAGAGCTTGAGATAAGTGCTTTTGTGTTTAATATAATGCAGAGGTAAGAAGCTCAAAAATAACTTAAATATGCATGTACCAAACTCCTAATTAATCCCAGCTTTTAAGGTAATTTTTTTAATAGATGCAGCAAAGAAGGGGTTGCTTTCTGTACTTCCCTGTGGCTGATTTTAGTAGTGGGACTGCTATTCTAGCTTATTAAAATGTTTAAGAAATTCCTTAATAGTTGGTCAGTTTGGCATTAAGACTCCTTCCAGATTGCAGGCCAGAAGAGAACTGCTCCTTATTTTTAACTTCAGTACATCATTCTGAACTTGCCTACAATAATGTGGTTCAAATTGTGGCAATTTTTAATATTAGAAATCAGGATGACATGGATTGAGTTCTCTTACCAGACAGAAGTAGATTTTGATTCAGTCCATTAAATCTGAATTAATACATGTTTGCCATTATCAAGGTCCTGAGTTTTGTAGATACCATGACTATAAAAAAAAGAGTTATTTAAATTTCATTCCTTATGTGAAATACTATTTTCAAGGTAAAAAATAATTTAAATAAAAAATCCCAGTAAAAAGCATAAGAGACTATATATTAAAGAGGACAACAAAAGGCAAAAGGTTACTCACTTTCTGTTACATGCAAAGTGATATGTGCTTTTTTTTTAATTTTACATAAATTGCTCTGTAAAGGATAGGAATTATTTACTATAAATATTTTCCTTTATTTCCTCAAAGTGCTGTTTTCATGTGAAAGCACACTTTAACACTGTATTAAAACAAAGCTGTGGTTATGATACTCTGACAAGAATGAATGGTTTTGAGTGTCTCATAACTTGCTTAAATTACATGAGATTTTTCTGTCATTTCTAGAAATACGTTTCTAGAAAGACATTTACTAAGCAAGGCACCAACATCCATGAAATTTTTCTCTTTCCTTCCCATTTTGTTAGTCTTGTTTTCTGAATGCCAAACAATGGCAAGAAAAAATGTGTGTGCCTGCAGTCTAGAATGAAGTGACATGCTGTTCTGTTCCTTTCTTCTAGGTTTTTGTAGGAGTAAATGTAAGACCTGTAAGTTTTATTTTATAGGATGGTGATCTACTGGGAGGTTAAAGAATTTAATTACTATTCTAAGCAAATGGACGGAACATTCCTTAAATGCTTGTAATGGCTGCTTAGATATGTAATGGGATATTCTAAGAATGCCATTTTGTTAGAGTCTGCTGTAAAAAACCTGAAAATACCCAACCAAAAAGAACCAACAGTGAAAAAAACTCAAACAAAACACAAAACCTCCTTCTTGCCTACTTGTGTGCAGAACTGAGAAGTTTTTAAAGATTTTTTTTCATGCTGAGATCATGGCTTTGATAATGTCATTTTTTAGGTTAGTAGAATGTTAAATCTTAGCATATTTTATTCATAAGCAGGGTCTTGTATGCAGTGTAGTTCATCTGTATATTTCAAAATTTGAAGCAAACAAATGTTTACGTTAAATGGCAGCTGGTTCTTCTCAGCAGGCATTATTTTTCTTCTGATACAGTCCCAGGGAATAACTTGTCTGTGTATCAATAGGAAATTAAGAGAGAGGTAACTATTTGTCCAATTTAAAAAGTTTGGTTTTGAATCAGTCATTTAAACAATACTTGTATAAACAATTAAGATTCACAATTGTTTGTTACAACCCTTCTTTTTTTCTTGTCCAAAACATTCCAGTTGTTTTAGATTATAAAATGTAACTTTTATTCCACTAATGTTAACTTCTGAATATAAGTTCCTTTCAGCTGCAGTTGATATTTAAGTTTGCTAAAGGAAAATTTTTGCATTAATTTTCAAGTCCTGGATGGCTTTGCTAACTATATTTTACGCAGTATTCCCACAAGTAAAGTTAGAAGTACTGCCAGCTCTTGATTACAGAAAACTTTCCAGACAGGCTAACGAGTGTTTATCAAACAAAACTAAGAAATTTTCATAGTCTCTGTTCTGTCTGCTCATAGTCTCTGTTCCATCTATGTCTTTTTAAGTATAGAGCTAAATAAGCAGTCATCCCTTAAATTCTGTATTCCCCTTTTTAATTGCTTTTTCTTTCTCCACAGGGAATATTGGAAATTCCTTCCTTATTGATCCCATTTTGGGTATGATTAAAATTGCAAAGGAATTAGATCGTAGTAACCAGGAAGAATACAACCTGATGGTAAAAGCTACAGATAAAGGACATCCTCCAATGAGTGAAGTGACCTCTGTGCGCATATTTGTTACAGTTTCTGATAATGCCTCACCAAAATTCACAGCCAAAGAATATTCTACAGAAATCAGTGAAAGTGCCAACATTGGCAGTTTTGTTGGAATGGTTACAGCATACAGTCAGTCTTCTGTAGTTTATGAAATAAAAGACGGTAATTCAGATGATGCCTTTGCTATCAACCCCAACTCAGGTGTCATCATTACTCAGAAGATACTTGATTTTGAGACTTTGCCTTCTTATGCTCTTACTGTGCAAGGAACAAACATGGCTGGCTTGTCCAGTAATGCAACAGTTTTGGTACATCTTCGGGATGAGAATGACAATGCACCAATTTTCATGCAGGCTGAATATACAGGACTCATCAGTGAATCAGCTTCAATTAACAGTGTGGTTCTGACTGACAAGAATATCCCATTAGTAATTCGAGCTACAGATGCTGATAAAGAATCTAATGCTTTGCTTGTTTATCAAATTGTTGAACCATCTGTCCGCCAGTATTTTGCCATTGATTCTAGCACTGGTGCCATTCGGACAGTAATGAGTCTGGACTATGAGGAGACAAATATTTTCCACTTTTCAGTGCAAGTACATGATACAGGCATACCACGTCTATATGCGGAATACGCAGCTAATGTTACTATTTATGTGATTGACATCAATGATTGCCCTCCTGTGTTTTCAAGAGAGCTGTATGAGACATCCCTTCTGGTTCCAACTTATAAAGGCGTGAAAGTCATCAGTGTAAATGCCACTGATGCAGATTCAGGCATTTTTTCCCAATTAATTTATTCCATTATTGAAGGCAACATTGGAGAAAAATTTTCAATAAACCCTAAGACTGGCGATATAACAGTACAAAACACAACTCAGTTAAGAAGCAGATATGAATTAACTGTGAGAGCATCTGATGGCAGATTTGCAAGCACTGCATCTGTAAAAATTAATGTGAAAGAAAGCAAAGCAAGCCAGCTGAAGTTCACACAGAGTTCTTACTCTGCAACAGTGCAGGAGAATTCCACAGAGGCAAAAACAATAGCTGTTGTTACTGCTATAGGGAATCAAATGAATAAGCCTTTGTTTTACCATATTCTAAATCCAGACAGCAGATTTAAAATAAGCCAAACTTCAGGAGTCCTTTCCACAACAGGAATACCATTTGATCGTGAACAGCAAGAATCTTTTGATGTGGTCGTGGAAGTGACAGAGGAAAATAAACCATCAGTTGTTGCACACATTGTAGTTAAAGTCACAGTAGAAGATGTAAATGATAACGTTCCATTTTTTGTCAATCTTCCGTATTATGCTGCTGTTAAAGTAGACTCGGAAGCAGGCCATGTTATTCAACGTGTGACAGCAGTAGATAAAGATACAGGCAAAAATGGAGAGGTGCGTTACTATCTCAAAGAACATCATGAACATTTCCAAATTGATCCTACTGGTGAAATCTCCCTGAAGAAGAAGTTTGAACCAGACACACTAAATAAGGAGTATCTGGTCACAGTAGTGGCAAAAGATGGAGGAGACCCTGCATTTTCAGCTGAAGTTACAGTCCCAATTACAGTTATGAGTAAAGCTATGCCGGTGTTTGAAAAGCCTTTCTACAGTGCAGAGATACCAGAAAACGTTCAGCTCCACAGTCCTGTGGTACACGTACAAGCAAACAGCCCTGAAGGACTCAAGGTGTTTTACAGCATCACAGGTGGAGATCCTTTCAATCAGTTCACTATCAACTTCAACACTGGAGTTATAAATGTTGTTGCCCCTCTTGACTTTGAGTCTCATCCAGCCTATAAACTGAGTGTTCGAGCAACTGACTCCCTAAATGGGGCACATGCTGATGTGTTTGTAGACATAATAGTGGAAGACATCAATGATAATCCTCCTGTGTTCACAGAGCAGTCTTACATTGCAACACTTTCTGAAGCATCTGTTGTTGGAACATCTGTTGCACAAGTGAGCGCTACAGATGCGGATTCTGGAACCAACAGGGGAATTTCCTATCACTTGGTTGAGGATAATAGTGAAAGTCATGACTACTTTCACATAGATAGCAGCACTGGACTCATTCTTACAGCAAAAACTTTAGACTACGAACAAATTAAGCAACACAAGTTACTAATAAGGGCCATAGATGGTGGCATGCTGCCCTTGAGTAGTGATACTATTGTAACTGTGGATGTAACTGATCTCAATGATAACCCCCCTCTTTTTAGCCAATTGCTTTATGAAGCCAAAATTAGTGAACTGGCTCCTCGAGGACATTTTGTGACATGTGTGCAAGCCTCAGATGCTGATAGTACAGATGTTGGCAAGCTGGAGTATTCCATTCTGACAGGCAATGATCAGAAGAATTTTGTGATTGATAGTAAAATTGGCATTATCACCATCTCAAACCTACGCAGACAGACACTGAAGTCACATTATAATCTTAATGTGTCGGTTTCTGATGGTGTCTTCAGAAGCTCAGCCCAAGTCCATATAAGTGTAATCAGTGCTAACATGCACAGTCCTGTTTTCGGCCAGAATGAGTATGAGGTTGAACTAGCTGAAAATGCTCCACTGCATACTTTGGTTACTGAGGTTAAAGCAACAGATGAAGACTCTGGTACACATGGCCACATCACTTACCACATAGTAAATGACTTTGCCAAAGACAGATTTTATGCAAATGAGAGAGGGCAGATATTTACCTCGGAAAAGCTTGATCGTGAAACTCCAGCAGAAAAAGTAATTGCCATTAGTTTAATGGCCAAAGATTCAGGAGGGAAAGTTGCTTTCTGTACTGTTAATGTAATACTTACAGATGACAATGATAATGCTCCTCAATTCCGGGCAACAGAGTATGAAGTAAACATCGGGACTGATGTTCCACGGGGTACTTCGGTCATTAAAGTCTGGGCATCTGATGCTGATGAAGGTACAAATGCAGACATCACATATTCTATTGAAGCAGAGTCTGAAAACGTAGAAGAGAATTTAGAAATTGATTCATTGTCTGGTATAATCACTACAAAAGAAAGGTTAATTGGTTTGGAAAATGAGTTTCTTACTTTCCTTGTTAGAGCAATTGATGGTGGGTCCCCCCCGAAAGAGTCAGTTGTTCCTGTCTATGCTAGAATACTCCCACCAGAAGTGCCTACACCAAAATTTTCAGAACCATTTTATTCTTATACTGTCTCTGAGGACATTCCAATTGGAACTGTGATAGATGTTATCAAAGCAGAGCATAATCAGACTTTGGTATATAGTCTGATTAAAGGGAACACTCCTGAAAGCAACAGAGATGACTTTTTTGTGATTGACCGACAGACTGGAGAGTTGAAACTTGAGAAGAACCTTGATCATGAAACAACTAAGTGGTACCAGTTCTCAGTTCAAGCACAGTATGCAAATGAAGATTATAATGTTGTTTCCTCAGTAGAGGTTAGCATTCAAGTAAAAGACACAAATGATAACAAACCCATTTTGGAATCCAACCCATATGAAGCATTCGTTGTAGAAAACACACCAGCTGGAACACGAGTCATACAGGTTAAAGGAACTGACTTAGATTCAGGACTCAATGGGCAGGTTACTTACAGCTTGGATCCTTCTCAAGAGCTTGACATTATAGAATCTTTTACCATAAACATGGAAACTGGCTGGATTACCACTCTGAAAGAACTTGATCATGAGAAACGAGACAAATACAAGATCACAGTGGTTGCATCTGACCGGGGGGAAAAAATCCAGCTGTCTTCTATGGCTGTGGTTGAAGTTACTGTCACAGACGTGAATGACAATCCTCCACGGTTCACTGCAGAGATTTATAAGGGAACAGTCAGTGAAGATGACCCTCCTGGTGGGGTAATTGCCATCCTGAGTACAACAGATGCTGATACAGAAGAAACCAATAGACAAGTCTTTTATTACATAACAGGTAAGTCTTTTTAGGTAATGTCAGAATAACTGTTTGAGTGGTGCTGGAATGATGGGAGATACTGCTTAATCGTTGAAGAGATTGGAAAGTGTTTGAAACCATAGAGCTGCAAAGAAAGAATGGATGTGTCTTAATATGAATATTAAAAACTTCAGTGGAAAAATGAATTTTAGTTGGCTTTGTTTCATGTGTGCCTTGCTTAAGTTGCCTTTCTCTATATATTATTTATATATCAAATTTTATTTAAAAAACTATGTAGATTAGAGATGCAGTTAAATTCACATAATAATAGGCTATTAATTTCCAGTGGAATATTTTATTATTTATTTATTTATTATCTAGTGTATGTCATGATATAATGTTTTCTATAATGCCACATTAATTTCTAAATTAATTTTTATGGATTTTGTTGGCCACAGCTGAATTGGTTGTATGAGCATCTACTGACAATTTCTACCTGGGAAATGAAGCTGTTTCCTCATAAAGCCGCAGAAAATGCCTGCTTTTTTCTTTCTTTTTTTTTTTCCCTATACCCTAATTTTGATAGAGTAATAGTATTTCTTTTTATATTTCAGGAGGTGATCCTTTGGGACAGTTTGCTATTGAAAATTTACAAAATGAATGGAAGGTCTATGTCAAAAAGCCTCTGGACAGGGAAGAAAAGGATAATTATCTTCTAAATATTACAGCTACTGATGGGACCTTTGCAGCTAAAGCTGTGGTGGAGGTTAAAGTCCTTGATGCTAATGATAATAGCCCTGTTTGTGAAAAGGTAGGCAGAGTCTTGTATCTTCCATTACCAGCTGCTTTCATACATAAAATTTACATTTTCTCTGAAATTGCTTCTCAGGAGACTGACAAATAGCTGTTCCTTTTAAACCAAGTAACAAAATTTGGACTACTAAGATAGATTGCTGTTAAATAAAAGATACTTCACAGACAGATTGTTTAAAAATCCAAAGACAATTCATTGACATTCAGTGGGTATTTGAGAGATACAAGAAGAATTGTAGTACATTTCTCCTATGTTAATTTTTTTCCAAAAAGAATTCTTTTTAGCTGTAGCCATAATTGTTTATATGCTCTGTTTTATGAAAGAAGCAAAGTTTTAAAGAAAGCTGAATCCCATTTCTTAGTTGAAATATGTATTTCTTGTGATAAAAGAGTTGAAAATAGTGGAACATAACTCTGCAATTGCAGTCAACAACACCAAAAATCTGTAAGCCATAAATGTTGTCTTATTACAAAGCTGTCTACCGTACCAGATTTTTATAGTCTGCAAAAATGGACATGAAAAATAAGGAATGGAAAAACTCAGTAAGATAGCCCCTGCAAAATATGTTGCTGCCTCTATTGTATTTTTCATAGTTGAACACAGATTTCTTATTACTGGGTTGAAATCTTCACTTGTACTAGGAAGGACAAGTACACAGTGATATAGGATTCTTTTTCTTACTTGATGTTTATGTTGGTTACTTCTGTGTAAATGGTTGCAGTTATACACAGACTGGCAAGTTAGTATTTTTAGCTTTTTTTCCTTTTATTTTCCCCTTTGTTAATATTGTTGTTACAAGGCTTAGTGCTTCTACTGTAATGCACATTCCTGACATGGTTGGGCTAAGCACTAAGAGTGCTTAGTGCCAATAAATTCTGAATCCTTTTTCTTATTTTTAATTTAATCTAGAAGCTTTTGTCTCATTAAAAGGGCAGCTATCAATTTCTTGTAGATTGGGACAGACCTAGAAAACATGATCCACCAAAAGAGAGAAAAATGAAATTAGCAAAAATTTGTAACTCCTATTTTGGGAACACATTTCATTATTAGTTTATTTATTTCATTATTAGTTACAAGTGTTTCAAGATCTGAGCAATGCACTAATGTTCAAAAATCCCTATAGCTGCAGTATTAAATACCTTTCTGAATAATCAAATAGATGTGAAGTAATTAATTAGAAAATCATAAGTTCTTTTAATTTTAAGTTATTTCCTCCTCTGGTTCGCATGATATGTTACCAGACATTCAAACAGAATATTATTTCCTCTATCATTCCTTCTTCCCCTCCCCTTTCCAAGTTTTGCTTACTTCATATGTTTAGTTTTTCACTGTAACTTTGAAATCTTGCAGACTTTATATGCTGATTCAGTTCCTGAAGATGCCCTTCCTGGCAAGCTGATAATGCAGGTGTCTGCTACAGATGCAGATATTCGTTCCAATGCAGAAATTACTTACACACTGCATGGCACAGGAGCAGAAAAATTCAGACTTGCTCCAGACACAGGTAATAATACTTTATACAGTATACAAGACTCCAGTCACCTCATTTTATAAAATGCTTTGCTATTGCATGAAGATATAAATGTCAGTTGTTAAAACTTTCCACTACGAGTTGGTTTACTGTACATTGGTTTATGTGAATTTCTACTACACAAGTACTAATAATATATTGAATAAACTCTGGCAAAAGGCAAGTGTTTTAATTTATGAGGAGCTAAAGCATAAACAGGGTAATTGCCCTGAAGCCAGAAACTTCCATGCTGAAGTGACTGGAATAAAAGTAGGCCATAAATTTTGCTCTTTTTATACTCACTGTAGTAGCAGCAATAATGGTTTGTAGCTGTGAAATATCTTCATTCAGATTCTCTTTGCCATCTTTTGTTTTGGAAAATTAAATGGGATGAGGTTAGATGGAGCAACAAATTTCCTTTCCATAGCAAACACCAGAAGTGCCCCCAGCTTTATTGGAATGAGATTAACTCAAAAGTATAAATGAGATCAACTTTTAACTTGCTTCACTTTGGTCTTCATGGCATTTGTGTGTTTTGTATTACACTATTGCCAAAATCCTGTACTGTGCAGGCTGTAGTAGACAAGCAGTAGGAAAGTAAACAGTGTAGAAAAAATAGAATAAGATGAATACAAAAATGTAATGCAAGTAGAAGAGATTAGAAAACTTCAGTGACAAAATAAATGAGAAGGACCTTATTTCATGGGTTTGACGTGTATTTTTGGCTTTGAATGTCACCTGTGTGATGTGCTACTGTGTTACATAAATTGAGAATTGATAGGGCTAGAATACTCATAAAAAGTGTTTCATAATGGTTTTTTTGACCTGTTTATAAGGTGACAACGATTACACATAGTAGTGGCCTCTCATGTTTTCTGTCACTTTAGAAAGAAAGTATGTGTTAGAGGTCTACAGATTTGTCTGTAGTAGCAGTTAAGATCTCATTGTGAATAGCTGCATTTATACATGAAATGTTAGAGGAGGAATTACCAATACCTATGGAAGGAATACAACTAAATAGCTGAGAAAAACCAGACATGGATTTAACCTTGCATTTTTTTAATCCCAGAGTTCTAAAATTCACTTTGCACAAACACACATGGATTTTTGCATGTATACACATTGTCTCTCTGCACTATCAGAGAGTTTAGCTAATTTCTATTTCAAGAGCATTAGGAAAAAATAAAGTGTTTTAGTTCTTAATCTTTTCAGACTCACAAGGCAGGTCACTTATATGTTTTGCCCAAAGTGGAGTTCATTAATACAGTACAGCTGTTGATTTAGCCAGTGATGAAATTACTGTAAACGAGAAAATTGTTGTTTAGCTATTCTGACTTTAAGGGAAAACATGTTTAGGGGTACTTAAGCCTTGCAATTTGCATCAGCTTAATGTGTTATGCTGTTTGTAGGTGAACTGAAAACATTAATGTCACTTGATCGTGAGCAGCAAGCAGTTTATCATCTTCTAGTGAAAGCCACAGATGGAGGAGGAAGATTCTGCCAAGCTAACATTATCCTAACTCTGGAAGATGTGAATGATAATGCCCCAGAATTTACAACTGACAGTTACTCCATTACAGTATTTGAGAACACAGAGCCTGGAACCCTTTTGACAAGAGTGCAGGCAACAGATGCAGATGCAGGTATGCATTCTTTGACTGATACTTTTGTCATGTTCTCAGAGTTACAGTATTATTTCTTTAGTTTTATCCTGAGAGGTGTCAAGTGTTTCAGTAGAGCTGACAGATGTTCAATACCATTCAGGATTAGACTCCTGAAAGATATATTTTGGTCTACTAAATCATTTAACACCTGACTTTCATGTGTGAATAGCTTGGGAGACATCCCTATGGTGTCTTTGTAAAAAAGAGGAGAGGGGAGAGAGACAAAATGTAGAGAATTTTAACTGTCGTAAGGTGTTAATGCTATGATCGATTAGGTTCATCCTTTTACTCCTGATGAAGTAATAGGACTATCAAGCCATGTCTGTTTGTGTAAATGGGCATTCATGGATTTTTGTGCTTCTCAGGCCAGCCACTGATGACTATACCATCAAGAGAACACTGGTCAACTGTGGCTTTATGTATATGGTGTTGATTTTTACTGTCTCTTTGCCTTCATTGTTCAGTTCCAAATATTAAGTGAACATGAACTAAAAATGATGTCAGAAGGAGTTTGCTCATAGACTATGTTGTAAGGAACAAAACAGCATTTAAGGATGTGATTTCCACATTTTATCAGTTTCTTAATCAAATAGTATTAATGAATAGTTGTCTCAGTTTTCTAAAACAGCTTACCTGCTCTGTGCTATGATAAAGTTCGGTTGCTCATTTGAAAGGTAACAGATAGTTGTTTTCATACTTCACCAGTGTTTGAGGCAGGGGGACCAAAATACTTGCCCCTAAAATCTATAAGGTTTTTGTTTGTTTTATAAAGAAATGGTGCTAGAAATTATGCTCTTGTTAGTTTTGGGGCACGATTCCTAAATAAAGAGCTTGGAGTCTAGTTAATTGATGTAACCTAACTCTCCCATATCCTCCTCTGTTATTATAAGCTTGGTAAGCAGATTCTTTTGTTCTAAAGTTATAATTACATTTATACTAACAATTGTTTCGTATTAACTAGTGCTACAACTGAAGCAGAACCATGGTTCATGTTTTCTGTATGACAGAAAATCGTTGCAGTGAAGTGTTAGCTTAATGATTTTTTGGAAGTAATTCTACCCCTCACAAAAGACTTTACCTCTTTCTGAAATGCACTTTTAACATGAATGATAATATTTAGCATGCATGTCTTATTTTCATAGCTATCAGATGGATTATTCTGTTGTTGTGTATTTTAATGGCTGCTTCATACTTGAAATTTTCTTTCAAAATGCAGGGTTGAACCGTAAAATCCATTATGCGCTGGTGAACTCTGCAGAGGGGCAGTTCTCTATTGATGAATTCTCTGGAATCATTCGTTTGGAGAAGCCTTTGGATCGGGAATTACAAGCCGTGTACACATTAACTTTGAAGGCCACAGATGAAGGCTTACCTAGAAGGCTGTCTTCAACAAGTAGTCTTATAGTTTCTGTTTTGGATATTAATGACAATCCACCCGTATTTGAGCATAGGGAGTATAGTGCAAGTGTGTCAGAGGACATTCTGGTTGGAACTGAAGTTCTCCAGATCTATGCTGCAAGCAGAGACATTGAAGCCAACGCTGAAATCACATACTCAATAGTCAGTGGGAACGAACATGGAAAATTCAGCATCGATTCAACAACAGGTAACAGGCTGCAACTGTGAATATTACTTGTGGCCAAGCAAGCACCATGCCATACTGACTTCCTCCATAGTTGAGCCAGGTTATGTGCAGTCTGTGTGCTTCATCCCAGCTGAGAAGTTGCTGCTGCTGTCTTTCCACCCATTTTACCAGCAAGCTTACTAGAGGAATGCGTAAAATGTAGAATAGGAACTTTATTTGTTGCTTCTATTTATTGGATTATTACTTGGATTAGGTTCATTTATAAGGGTTTCCTAACTGGAAATTCCCTACTCTGGGGGCAGGCAGGTGGAAAGACATAGATCTGTAATGAGAAACATAATAGTCTTTCCACAAAAGGTATGTAGTCAGAAGGAATGGCCAGGCTTGGCAAAAGAAGGATTAGAAATAAAATTGGTTGGGAAGACTAGTCATTGGTCCACAAAGGCAGTAATCCTAGAGAAGTTTGATATGGCATTAAAGAGAGCTTGGAATTGGAATATTATGTTCAACCATATGTCCAGCATGACAGTGGAGATTTTAGGCTTGTATGATAGTCAGATTTAGTCTCAGGGACTATTTAGGTTATGTTGAGAATTTTTTCCTATTATTGACAATTCTTTGTTAAAAATCAATAAACACTTCAATTTTAGTTTTGTTTACTTATATAGTTCTTTTTCTAGAGCTAATTTGTTGCAAAGTTGCTTGGGTTTGGGTTTTTTATCTTTGGTTTTGTTTTTAATAAGATTTCTACCCGAAAGTTAATTTTAATTGACTTTTAGTCGTTAGTTAAATAGTTTAGTAGTTAATTGTACTAGTGTAGTGGAAATTACAATTCTGCTTTTTCCAGTGGACATGCTGGTACTAAGATATGGAAGATAAACTTCGTATATTTGAAAGGAATAAAAAGGTTCCAGAAAAACTCATCCAGCAAACCAATTTGTATGCTAGGGACTGCACTATCTTAACTAGTCAGTTAAAAACTCACATTACAAAAGGTAAGCCTAGTTGTTTTAAACTGTGAATCTTTTGTGGTAATGGCAGGAACTTTACTTTCGTGTGTAAAGCATTATCATTTCACGGGTAGCTCTAGCTTTACAGTGACAAATCAAGCCCTGAAGAAGCTGAGTTTTTTTCAGGTCAAAATAAAAATTTGCAACACATAATAGTACAGAAGTAGCAGAGTTTGAGGCTTTTTTTCTTCTTCTTCCCTAGGAGCCATTTTTATCATTGAGAGTTTGGATTATGAAAGTTCTCATGAGTACTACCTGACAGTGGAAGCCACAGATGGAGGCACACCTTCATTAAGTGATGTTGTAACAGTGAATATTAATGTCACGGATATCAATGACAATTCTCCAGTGTTTAGCCAAGACACTTACACTGCAGTAATCAGTGAAGATGCTATGCTTGAACAATCAGTTATTACAGTACGTATTGGTTTCTCACTTTGAAATACTCTGCCATGATGGACATGCTTTCATTCTTGAAGGAATAAGTATTGATTTGAAGGTTAACATCAATGAATAGATGTTTGCCACTGAATGAATGGAAAATTTACTTTGAAAAAGTTTCAGAATTAGGGACTTGAGATGCTGTGGGGAAGTAGATAATATTTTGTGATATGTTTATGTTCTCCTCATGAGACCATGACTTAACTTCCAGAAGAAATTCAGGAAATTAAATTATGTTAGTATACTGTATTGAGATGGCATTTCTCTTGTGAACTATGAAATTTGTTAGACCAAAGGAGCTCATCTTCAGGGTGAGTTTATCTGAGAGATGCTAGAGTCTCTTTCAACCTGTTTTAACTGAGACTGTAATGTCCCTTAGGTTATGGCAGATGATGCTGATGGACCTTCCAACAACCACATTCACTACACAATCATAGATGGGAATCAAGGAAATCCTTTTACAATTGACCCTACCAGAGGTGAAATAAAAGTGACTAAGCTTCTAGACAGAGAAAAGGTGAGTTTTTTGTGGTTTTAAGGCAGCTGGGATTAATTTACCTATACATAATTGATGACCACCATTTTCTTACTCTATTTCTAAATTACTGTTTCATGTTCCAAAATTAATATTTCTATAGTAAAGTGCAAGCATCTGTTTATATCAGTACTTCTGGGAGGAAAAGAAAGGATTAAATATATGAAGGAAAGCTTTACTGGGGGTTGTGCTAAAATAATTCTTCCATAAAACAAAATGTGAGTTTGTTACTTTATTCCTCTTCAGTAAATGTTTTTAAATTTTTTTTATTCATTTTTTTAGATTTCAGGATATACCTTGACAGTTCAAGCTTCAGATAATGGAAGTCCACCTAAACTTAACACAACTACAGTAAACATTGATGTTTCTGATGTAAATGATAATCCTCCAGTGTTCTCAAAAGGAAACTATAGTGTTATCATCCAGGTAAATGCAACTAGTGAAGTAATTAAATCAGTGTTACTGGACTGCAAATTTGTGACTTGAATTTTTCTGTATTTTTAATTATTTAAGGTCTCCAGTGAGACTGCTTATCAAATAAGTGTTGAGAGTTTTAAAATTCCTGTTTGCATGTTATGTAGAAACTTACATTGCAAGTTGTAAGAATCACAGAATGGGTGAGGTTGGAAGGGACCACAGTGAGTCATGTGGTCCAACCTCCCTGCTAAAGCAGGCTCATCCTAGAGCACGTGATTGAGTCCAGTCCTGGACACAGGATTGAGTCCAGAATGTTCTCAAATATTTACAGTGAGGGAAACTGCATAACCTCTCTGGGTTCTTCTTCTGATTCCTTGTGTGTGTACGTGTCTATGTATTATAAATTCCTTTTATGCACAGAACAATCTTAGAATCATGCAGGGATGTTAAAATACATTATAGTTTTCCTATTTCTTTTTAGTCTTATGAGTTACTGCTTAGAGAAAGATCCTTTAGGTCCTTGTTACTATGAACGTAGTGCTCTGCACCATGGCATCAGGTTAAGCCCTAATTCCCACTGGCCTCCTCTGGGATCAGCAGCAGTTAGAGCAAGAGTGGAATTTCATATGGCTGCATACCAATCCTTTGACTAATTTTACACTGTCGAATGGTAGCCGTAGGCCACGTTGTCAAGGGTCTGGCATGTACTTGCCTGATCCAGAAAACTGCTAAAGCAAAGACAGCAGGATCAGCATCTATACTTCTTGTCTTCCTGAATCCAAGAAGAAATAAATGGAAGTCAACAAAGGAATTGCACTAAGACCTTTGTAGACTAGTAATGTAAATGAGCTCAGTCCCTTGTGTCCCTCTGCTGTTTCCTGGCCTGGTGCAGTAGATCTGTGAGGATCACACAGCTACCTGATGCACTGTGCCATCCTAACATACCACTTGTGTTTGAGACAAGTGTGCATCATTTGTAAAGGCAGCTTTCCAAAACAGGACAAAGTGAATATGTACAATATGCACCCAGTATGCAAATAAGATGTCCTGGATATTGTTCTTAAAAAAACCCAGCCAACCAAAAAAAAAAAAAAAACCAACCCCAAAAAGCAAAACAAAAAAAACAAAACAACCCACAAAAAAAAAAAAAAAAAAAAAAAACCCCACCAAATAAAAAAACCAAACCCAAACCAACAGATTCCAGATTCATGTTTGTGTGCTGCCAAATGAATCTGCTTTTCCCCTATTATAGTCTTTCTTGAAATAAATGTTATTTAATATTTCACTTAAACTTCAGACTGTGTAGCCAATGGATGTACCATTTCCCTTAATTAAAGAGGAAGATCTCTTGTTTTATAGTTCATTCATATGGGCCTGCCCTAGTTGAAGGTAGCAGAGAAAAAGTTGGAGGAGTTTCCCAAGAATGCTGATGTACATTTCCTTTTGTATTTGAGATGGATATATTTGGACACAGTAGAAAATGTGCTTAGCTTTTAGGAAAGTCAAATTACTTTGGATGTCCAGCTGTAAATATTTGTATTTTAAAGCAATGGTCTTTGTTTTGCTGAAAGGGAAAAAGCTTCAGCTTTTTGCAGTATCTGATAGCTAAATTGACTTACTCTCTCAGAAACAGAGTATTGTTATCAGGAGTTTTTAGATTTGTGAAAGGGATAGCATTTTGTTATTGTTGTACTTCAAAATAAGTTTTCTACTTTTCTTGCTTTTCTAATAAGTATGTATATAGAGAAATCTGGCTGATACAGTAGAGCACAAGTATTCTGGGAGAGGAGTTACAAGTGTCAGATAAGGTTATATGTATGTGTGTAACGTATGTGATAAGCCAACATATGTGAAGTGTCTTTGAAACCTCAGACATCCGCGTGATGCAAACTTGAAGGGATTTTATGATGCAAATTTTAAAACCTGGGTTTCATATTTTAACTGGATAGTGCCTTTAGCAGCCACAGCTGTAGGCAGAACTCTTAATTAGTGGCACAAGGGGTCAGATGGAGGCGTGTATTTTTCTAGTCCTCCCTACAAAGGCATTAGATTATTCTTAACAGGTGTTTTCTCTAAATTTCAAATCTTTGATGACTTGGTAATTAGGCTACAGTAATACTAATTCAGACCAGAAGTGGAAAATGTAAAGTGTCAAGGCTGAGCTACCTTTAAAAATACAATACTAAGTTAAAAAAAGAATGCCTTTCTCCTCTTACTGTTTTTGAGTCTTAATCTCAGAGGGTAGTAGTTTCCCTGAAGCAGTATTGTCTTTCTGATTTCTCTTGTACCGATTAACTGGTTTGACAGTAATTTTTTGGGGTTTCTGTTGCAAGGAAGAAATCAGCATCAGACCATAGCCTCAATTATAACAAAACCAATGTGTGTTATATATCTATAGGAGAATAAACCTATTGGATTCAGTGTGCTGCAGCTAGTGGTGACAGACAGGGATTCTTCTCACAACGGCCCTCCTTTTCTCTTCACCATCCTGACTGGAAATGAAGAGAGAACTTTTCAGATTACCCAGCAGGGAGTTCTGACCACAAGCGCTGCGCTGAATCGCAAAGTGAGAGATCACTATTTGCTTCATGTCAAGGTAAGATGCTTCTGTCATGTTCCTCTTACTGTTTTGCATTGTAAGTATTTGATTAACTTTTCCCACTCGTGTTCACTCCACCACTTGTCATTCTGGTAGGAGATCCTGACATGCCAAGTAGTCATTTGAGGCATGTCCCCATCCTGACATGCCAAGTAGTCATTTGAGGCATGTCCCATTTTGTCCATTTCTTCAGAGACAAAATCTGTTGGTTTAAATACTAATCTACACAGATGTAATGGGAAGATCAGTTAAACTCACATTTAGAAGTAAGGTGAAGTGAAATGTTAACTGGGTGAGTGGTCTTAATAAGCCCTTTGCCTCCTGGTTGGAATGTTGAAAAACCAGCAGGGGACAAGTCCCTTGAGCCATTTTCTATTGCCTGCAGAATTCCTCTTGCTGCTATCGTTTTGACCCTTGAAGCTGTGTGCTGGACTAAACTCACATGATGAAAGCAAGGATGTTGCACAACACAGCAATAATGGAAAATTTTCCTGTAGTGCCACATTCTTTTTTCAATGGCAATTGAAAACATCTTTTTTTGAGTTTGGACCTTTTTTCATACTATTTTCGGTAGATGTTTTTTCATAGAATTGAAACTTGCAGTGCAGTTGTTTGTGATCTCAGGATCCTGCAGTGGAAGCCACAGTATAAAATTCAAAAAATAACCCTGATGTGCTGTAATATTTGCTACATGTGTCATTGTTGTGCAAAAAGACCAGACCATGTCCAAGGTTACATTAAACTAGCTAAGTTCTCTCAAATACTTTTTGTAACCTAGCGTGAGAAAAGTTCAAACCAATTGTTTTAATCTTATCTAGTCCTTTTAAATTCAGTTATAAATTAAGCAGCTAGGAACAGAGGACTAAAGATTAATAGGCTAAATGTAGATGCTCTTAATTCTTAAACTTCATTTCCAGATTCAGGTTTTAAGAAAAATTCTTACCTTCATTTTCACATAAGGAATTTCTTTTAATTTCCACATTATTCTTATGCATACTATTGCAGATAATTTATGAATAAGCATTCAGTTGCAGTATTTTCAAGTAATACTGTTTATAAGAGTGCATGCTGAATTCTGTCCACATTGGGATAGTTGTAACATATTTACACAAAGTCTATTTTCTTTGGGGAAAGAAGAAAAAATTCACAGAGATATTGTAATTTGCTGTTTGAGTCACTGAAGTGTTAGTATCCAGGAGCCATCAATATAAGGACAGATATAGTTTCGTAGTTTAGGGTTTAAGAATAGGGTTGAAAATGGGGGAAGGTATATTATTCCTCTGTTAGCCATTTTTTCCTCAATAGTGATATGCCAATTCCCCCAAAGTCACCTTTTTGTTTGTGGGTATTTTTCCTGTATGTGGTATCAGTGTAGTGCAAGAGTCATATGTTTTCCTTTAGATCTTCTCTAACGGTAACTAATTTCTATTTATTTTGCTTTTTAAATGTATTCTTATAAATGCATGTACATTTGTTCTGTATTAAATTTGTTCTGTATAGACTGTAACACTGACTTTGTTGCATTTCATGATTTAACTGCAGCTTTGGCCCTTCCTGATGTGCCTAGCTTTTTTTAAGTGTGAGATGCCTGTCTAACATCTTCCTCTGGGTGTAATCTTGCAATTCTTTCATTTCTAAGACACTTTCTGGTGTCTAGTCTGCTTGTAAACAGCCTGTCAGTACTTCAGCTATCTTGTCTTCAGCACAGTAGCTGAAAAGTGCTTTTTTATTAGGAAATGAATATGGGCTCTTTCAATGGCATCCAGTAGCTAAACAAGTGTCTTAAAACAAATGTACTCATTTAGTGCAAAGACTTCTCAGAGACTGTAAATCATTAAAGCAGACTTTACTAATGTGCCTCTTTTTGTCAGTATTTTGGACCTGTCTAATTAGTTGATTTCCAAGCTTCTTGACTGGATTCTTGAATATCACTGTCTTTTAATTGCCATTTGTCGTTTTACACTTTGCTAGCTTTTTTTAATAGACATACTGCTATTATTTGCTATTATCTTACAACATATGGGTATGAAGGCATCCAAGACTAAAACTAGCATTTCCCTATCACAAGATTCTAGTTCCAGTGATACACACAAAATTATAGACAAGGCTGTTGAGGAAAACTATTCTTCCTCTCTTCCTTTAAAATAATACTCTTTAAAGTCTGTAGGAAGGCATTTTCTCAAGCTTGCATTATGTTTTATTTCTGCATTTTGATCTTGAAAATCACAAGTTAATGGCTGTGTATAAACTCTTGATACCCATTATCAGTTTTTAGCTGACCTTTACTGGTGTGCTTTTCAATATTGACAGCTTTCACCTTAGTTGCTTTTTGAAGGGATTGCAGAACTAGTGATGTTTTTAATTTACAGGCATACTTTCATTTGAAAAAACTCATAACTAAAAAAAACCCCACTAAAACTACACAAACTTTCCCCATATGCACTCTACTCACTCACTACCTCCAAAAGACTTTACTTTTGTCATTTTAATAGAAATAAGGATTTTTTTTTTCCCCAGTGGTCACCTTATATGGGCATGCCAGTTGTATTTGCTTGTGCTCTCTCCAAAGGAAATAGATTATCCATTAACAAATGTCTCACAGCATTAGTGTGCGAAATCTTCAGCTATGAGTCATGCAGTCCTTTGTGCCACACTCTGAAGTCTTCAGTTTAAAACCACAGCACATTTTTAAATATCTGCACTCTTGAAAAACCATTTCTCCTGGGGCTCTTCTTTTCTACTTGCTGTCCATTTGTTATAATTTTGCTTGTCTGGGTTTTTTTTGAGCCTTTTCTGGTTTCCCTTGGCATTTCTTCTGTAGCTAAACTGCCTGCCTTGTCTTGTTTCCAGGCAGAGATCTAGGCAAAACAAAACTTTGCCAACTTGAGCTAAAGCTCTCGTTATTTATTTGGGTAACTGGAGGACAAGTTTCTAGCCATGCCTGTCTTTTGGAATTAACAGAAACAGATGAAGACGTAGTTCTAGGAGACACACATTACCTTTTAAAAATGCCACGTTTATGTGCCCATCCACAGATAATCTTGTGCCTGGAGTTACTCCTCTTGCTTGAATTTGTATTAAAAAAAACCAAAGCAGCCTCTCCACATAGATCTTCAAAGTGTACTCTGTAAAATTATTGCAAAATCTTTTAAACAATGCAGAATATCTTCTGCTTTCTGAGCCCTGTATATCCTCTCTGTACCTTCACATCTCTGATTCTTCTTTAACTAATTTCTTCAGTGTCACTTTCAGTAACTGAGAGTGCGTTCTGGAAAAAGTAGTGGGAAATAAGAGGTGAGAAATAGAAAGAAAAACGTGAACCCAAGGGAATGCTCTTAGCTCACTTTTCCGCTCTTCTTTTTTTACTGTCCTTGTACACCAGCAGTGTATGTCTTTGTGCAAAAGGGGTGGAGAATAGGGTGTTCAAAAGGATTTAAAATTGAATTAGGCTGATACAGTTAAAGACAGTTGATTAACTGTCTGAAGCAAATAGCACTACAGATACCCACCTCTTGTTTTCCTGTGACCAAAAATCATGAAAGGCAACATAATTAATTTTCTGCATGCATTTTTTTCCTTTTGAAGTTCTGTTTGGCACGGTACATTTACTTTGTCTTCCAGATTACCTCCTAATTGTAGTGAAGCATGTTGTACATTTCTAGTGCATGACTCATTTCAAGTTTGTAAAGTGTTTCTGTGCTTGATATTAAAAAGCTTCAAGCACCATCTGCTGTCTGAAATCAGCTACTGTGCATTTCCTCTGTATTTGCTACCAGTGTTAATAGCTTCCTGGCATTTCCAGCTAATAAGAGCACTGTAGGCTTTTAATCTTGGGAGAAATGAAAACGTTTGTGTGTGCCTGCTTATATAAGCTTTTTAAATTTTCAGCGTTAACTTTTATGTTAGGAATTGTGTTACAGAATTTATGTAAAGCATTTTCCTATAGGACTTCGTGATGGGGTTTTTATGGGTACAAAAATACAGCTCAACTATATATAGGATAAATATCTGCAGTAGAATTTGAGATAAAGCAAAAATGTAAATCTGTCCTCGTCTTTCCTTTAGGTGTCAGATAATGGAAAACCACCGTTGTCATCTTTGACTTATATTGATATTAGAGTTATTGAGGAAAGCATTTATTCTCCAGCAATACTGCCTCTGGAAATCTTTATCACAGCCTTTGGGGAAGAATATCCAGGTGGTGTCATTGGAAAAATTCACGCAACCGATCAAGATGTTTATGATACCTTGACATACAGTCTGGACCCCAAAATGGAATCCTTGTTCTCTGTTTCCAGTACTGGTGGCAAACTAATAGCACACAAAAGGTTAGATGTAGGACAGTACCTCCTAAATGTCACTGTTACAGATGGAAAATTTACAGCTGCAGCTGATATTACTGTGCACATCAGGCAAATCACACAAGAGGTATTAAATCACAGTATCGCAATACGCTTTGCAAACCTGTCCCCTGAAGAATTCATCGGTGATTACTGGCGCAATTTCCAGAGAGCATTGAGAAACATCTTGGGCGTGAGGAGAAATGACATCCAGATTGTTAGTTTGCAGCCTTCTGAGCCTCCTTCTAATCTGGATGTCCTCCTGAATATTGAAAAGTCTGGTAGCTCTCACCACCCAATGAGAATTTTGCTCCACAAGATAAACTCTTCTGTGCCTGACCTAGAGGAGATTTTAGGTGTCCGGATAATTGATGTGTTTCATAAGCTCTGTGCCGGCCTAGATTGTCCTTTGAAATTTTGTGAAGAAAAAGTAACAGTGGATGAGAACACCATGTCAACGCACAGCACAGCCAGGCTGAGCTTCGTTACTCCCCGTCATCAGAGAACAGCAGTTTGCCTTTGTAAAGGTAAGAAACACTGTAAGGGAAATGGTATCCTTGAAAAGATTGTTCTGGTTTTAAAAAGCAGTAGTCCTCAGATGGAAATTTATATTAGAGAACAAGATCAGGAATATTCGGTAACTCTCTCTATACTATTTGCCTAATTTTATTTGTAGTAAGGAGTAATTCTTTCTTATCTCATTACCTCACTTCAAGAATTTACATAGTACAAGTTTATAGGAGTGGGTATTTATTTTCTTTATAGCTACACCTTCATTTTCCATTTTATGAAAAAAGTAAATTTTTTGTTGTTGTTGCCTATCCTATTTTGATGGCCATTTTCAGTCTTGTGTGCACAAAAGTAAGTTCCTGCAAAGTACCTGAATACTCCCCTGTTTCTTCTTAGAGGAGTAGCCCACACAATTTCCAAACTTGTTTGGGAATGAGAGGGTAATGTGGGAAATAAATATTCATTAAAATATATGTAAGTATAAAGATTTCTGACAGAAGGTTTATTTATCTTTATCTCTGAGTAAAAAACATTGCTTTTTAAAATCAGGACTTAACCTTGCTGGGCGAACTTGCACATATGAAGTAAATATTTAAAGCCCATTCCTTTTCTGTCTTAAATACAGACATGTTTTTCTCTGCTCTTCCCAACCTACTCTGTCTGTGCTTATAGCTACATGTTGAATTTTTGTGGTGAATGATTCTAATGATAAGCCTTAAACCACAACACCAGTTTGCCAATTTTACCAATTGAATTGAGTAATCAAGATAAGGCTGAGCATCTGCCACTCTATATTCTGTTTGTCTAGAATAGAATGTCTGTGCCAGTCATGCCCCATAACTGTTATTCACTTCCTTGTCTGATAGTCAGGAATATCATTTGGGGCACTTTAACCTGTTGTACTTAGCAGTCCCTTTTCACAAAATACCATCATCACCAACAAATAAGAAATAATGGATTTGGTTTCACAGAAGGGAAATGCCCCCTGGTGAACAGTGTGTGTGAAGGAAATCCATGTCCTGAAGGTACTGAATGTTTAGGAGATCCAAAGGAAGGAAAATACACCTGTGTTTGCCAAGATGGCAAAGCTGGACAATGTCCTGGTAAGGAATTAACTTTAAAAAACTCTCTAAAACTATATTACTTTCAATCAAGTATAAATTTTATTCCAGTCCTATGCTAATACTTTTTATGCTTTTCTGTATTCCTAAGCATCAGCTGGCTCCGCTGTGACATTTACTGGGAGCAGCTATGTGAAATATCGTCTCATGGAAAATGAGAACAAAGAGGAAATGAAGCTGACAATGAGACTTAGAACTTACTCTGCTCATGCAGTTGTTATGTATGCTCGAGGAACAGACTACAGTATCTTAGAGGTATATTAAAATCTCCTAGTGCATACCTCCTCCTTTCTTTGAACCATCTTCTTACTATTTTTGTGTCAGATTAAAAGATTGAGTCATAACATCTATGTAGAATGGTTGTAACTGAAAATTGCTTTAAAGGTAGGTAGGGTGTGTTACACATCCAGGTGAAAAATTTGTACAGAAATTTTTACATTTGTAAACAAGCAAAGCTTCCTGAATCCTGAATATGCTTCCTGCATATTTTAAACAACTTTAAATTTATTTGCTTAAAATAGTGTAGTTCATACAGGAAAAGTTACTTAAAACACAAGATGAAAGATATTGAAGTATTGTAATATTTTGATTATGATCTGTGATTGCTTTACTACAGGAACAAAATGTACAAAGTGTACATTTCAATTAAAAGAACCATATAGAATAAATCACAGTTGCTGTGACTGGAAAACAGTGTTATTAAACTGCTTTTTATGAACACCACCATCATCCTGTCTCTCCAGAAAACATAAACTTTTATAGGCATCAATATTTTAAACTCTTTAAGTGTGCAGACCATTTATTGATATTGTGGCTTTCCTCTGTAGATCCATCATGGAAGACTGCAATATAAATTTGATTGTGGCAGTGGACCCGGGATTGTCTCTGTTCAGAGCACTCAGATAAACGATGGCCAGTGGCATTCCATATCTCTTGAGGTGGATGGAAACTATGCACGCCTTGTTCTGGACAGGGTGCATACTGCATCTGGTACTGCTCCTGGTACGCTTAGGACACTCAACCTGGACAATCACGTGTTCTTTGGTGGTCATATTCGTCAGCAAGGTACAAGACACGGTAGAAGTCCTCAGGTTAGCAATGGTTTCAGAGGCTGTATGGATTCCATTGTACTAAATGGACAAGAGCTGCCCCTAAACAGCAAGCCACGAAATTATGCACACATGGAGGAATCTGTAGATGTCACTCCTGGGTGCTTACTGACTGCCACAGATGGATGCTCAAGCAGCCCCTGTCAGAATGGAGGCATCTGCAATGCACTGTCAAATGGAGGTAAGCTGCTCTTTATTCTTCTGCTTTTAGCTTTCAAAACTGCTTTTCAACTTCTCTGCTTTGAGGGACGAAACAACTTCGTGCATAATTCTTGATTCCCCAGAGTTGTAGAAAGTCAGTTGTTGAATAGGTAGGAAAGGTGTGTGTGCCTTCTAGATTCAACTGCTTGGGGGTATGAGATAGACAAAGTCCTTCTGCCAAAGTGAGGATTTAATCTTCAGTGCTAACATCTAAGGTCCATCCTCTTAACAGCCTACTTTGGAGTTTTTCTTTAAAGATTCTGAAAGCATTGGGACAACTTGTGTTTTGTAAGAAAAATGTTTAAGAAAACTCTTACTGTTGGACTTTGCCTCACCTGTCGATAAAAACATTTCTATCTTTTCCCATCCTTTCTCTCATGTAGCAGCTTGGTGGGTAGGGAGGAATTTATTTTAAATCTGTAGGTGGGCAGGGAGGATTTTATCTCAAATCCAGTAAAGCCGTATGCACCTTTCAAAAAGACTGTATTTGATTTCAGGTTACTACTGCAAGTGTGCACCTTTGTTTATGGGAACTCACTGCGATGTAAGTGTGAACCCATGTGCCTCCAACCCCTGCCTTTATGGTGGGACTTGCATCCCAGTCAGTGATGATTTTATCTGCCAGTGCCGAGGACAATATACAGGTCAAAGGTATGTTTCTGTGGTTCCTTGTATCAATGAACCCCTTGGAAAACAGGATATAAGTGTAACATTTTTCTGGATTTTTTTAATGTGTTTCCTACTTTAAGCTCAGATTTGAGACATACTGGAGGTGGCTGAAGTTAACAGCAGCCCCTGTGTTACAGCTCTGTATCCCACATTATGAAATCGCTTGCAGTAAGGTAATGTTCAGCTGGTTTTGTTTGTTTTGCCTTTGCAGATGCCAGCTGGGTCCATATTGCAAAGACAATCCTTGCAAAAACAGTGGCAAGTGTATTGACAGTTTGGATGGACCTGTTTGTGAGTGTGAAGCTGGCTTTCGTGGAGAAAGGTAGGTGGCATTTCACATACGTTGAATTGTAGTAGTATTAATTAAGAGATTACAGTTCAAACTGGTTGAAATCTGGGATGTTGATAAAACAGTAAAATGCATGTTAGTGTGCAGTACCTTATAATAAACAGATCTAAAACTGTTGAGAACAAGATTACAACAAAGACTGCTGATGTAAACTAAACATCACTGCTGTGCTCTGTTTCTGATAGGTGCCTGACTGATGTCGATGAATGCGTAGAAAACCCATGTCTCAATGGTGCCCTTTGTGAGAATACATATGGTTCATACCACTGCAACTGTAGTCGTGGATTTGGAGGCAAACACTGCACAGACATTGTTCTCAATAAATATGTTTCGACATCTTGGAACATTGGCTTAGCTGAAGTGATTGGGATTATTGTTTTCGTCGCAGGAATCTTCTTGTTAGTTGTGATTTTTGTTGTTTGCCGCAAAGTGGTTGGTAGGAAGAAGAAGCACCAGCCAGAACCTGAAGACAAGCAACTGGGAGCTACGACAGCCTTCTTGCAAAGACCGTGTTTTGATGCAAAATTGAATAAGAACATCTATTCTGACATCCCACCACAGGTTCCTGTTCGTCCCATTTCATACACTCCAAGCATTCCAAGTGACTCCAGGAACAATCTTGACAGGAATTCTTTTGAAGGGTCTGCTATCCCTGAGCACCCTGAGTTTAGTACTTTTAACCCAGATTCTGTACATGGTCACCGGAAAGCTGTAGCTGTTTGCAGTGTTGCACCAAACTTGCCACCTCCACCTCCCTCCAACTCACCTTCAGACAGTGATTCAATACAGAAACCCAGCTGGGATTTTGACTATGACAGTAAGAGACATTCCTATTTTTACTTTCCTGTTAAATGGGTATGCTGGTACAATTTTAATATGAGTACAAAGTCTCTGTCTACACCTCTTAGAGTACAAAAGGCATTATGTCTTCACGGGGTTTTGTCTCTGATCAGCCTTCATGCTCTACTAAGTTTTGTAAAAACGTGCAGACTTCAGCTTTAAGTAGTATTGATTCTTTAATCTAGAATCTATTCATTGTCTCACTTGAAACTTTTTCTTTCAGCTAAAGTAGTAGATCTTGACCCCTGCCTTTCTAAGAAGCCTCTGGATGAAAAGAACTCCCATCCTTACAGTGCAAGAGAAAGCATGTCTGAGGTCCAGTCTCTCAGCTCCTTCCAGTCTGAATCCTGTGATGACAATGGTACGTAAAATGCAACCATTCTGTACCGCTGCTGATGTTCATTTGTTCTGTCTTTGCATCTGTATCTCTCAGTAACAATAGGATTTACATATATTGAATATATATTAAATAGTAGCTTATTTAATATATATTTGCATTTACTTAGGTTAATGCCCAAATCTGTTAATTAAAAAAAATATATTTTTCTCTATGAAACTGTTAATTACTTTACTTTAAAGTTATAATCATTCTGCTGTTAGAATATTACAGTGAAAATGCAGCTCAAGTTGCTCAGAGCCTGTGTTTAAAACGTATTAGAATTTGGTAAACTCTTCTAGGTTATCCTTAGTTATCATCTTATGCAAGAATACAGTGAATTTTAAAAAATGGCCTCTGCACAAATATAACTTTCACTTTGCTGTTCAGCTCTCAGTAAAAAGCTTTCTGGTGTTACAGTTTCATTTGTTTCCTTCTCTTTTTCTTGCTGCGACCTCAGCTCCCATATGGATCAGATCAGTTCTGAGTGAGAGCAGAGTTTAAGGGACTGCTTGTAAGTTTGATTACTTTAGTAATGAAGGAAACTTCACAAAAAGGACTTTTGTTACAATAGAACAGTATATTTGGCTTTCACCATGATTGAAATGAATTCATAAAAACATTTCATACATTGAAAAAAGCCAATATAAAAATATAAATATTTTGATCACATCTCAAGTCCATCAAAATATAATCAGCAGACATACTTGTGGGTTTGATTATTATTAATTGGATGTCTTTTCCATTGTGATGACAGATGCTTTTGTAGTTGATATGAATGCATCTGTGTATTCAGAAGCATGTCATACTGATTGGACAAAGCCACAGTTTTCTCATAACTTAATTTGCTAAGTTAAGGTGTGCTTTGACTCTTTATTCCACTTTCTGCTTTTGTCTCTGCCTGGTAAAAAAGAACTTGAAATTCCTTTAGCTTAGGAATAAAGAACATTCTGCTTCTTAATGAAGTAGAGTAATTTGTTATTAACAGCATGAAAGAAAACTATGTGATTTAATGATTGGTGAAAGTAAAATGGTATGCTTGCAGTCCTCATCATTTTATCAGTAGACCTGATGCCAACTTGCAACTTTTTTCCCTGTGATTTTAAGTGTCGTGTTGTACGTGTTGTTCTCCCCTCCTCACTGTCTTATATGTCTAGTATATTCTTTTTCCCATTTCCTGTCATGTGTTGATTACTCATTAATACATAATTTTAAGAGAAGTAGCTGTAGCATCATAGATACTGTTCCTTCCTTCCATTTTGGTAGATTCAGAATTTAATAGCTTGATATTTAATCCCTGAGCTGTGCAAAACAGTTGCATGTGCTTACTTCATTTTTACCTTATAAGAATAAATCCTTCTCCATTCCAAAACTATCTTGAGGGGAAGTGAAGACATAAAAAAATACATTCAAGTTTGGTTTTTTTAAAATAAGTATGTAACAGCCTGAATTTGGTATTCCTCTACTTTATACAAAACTTAAGTAGATGAGTAACAGAAATTTTCAGTAGGTATTTTTCATATTCTATCCTTTTAGTTCATTTCAGAGAAAATTTCTTTCCCGTATCTTTCATTGGTAGGGAGGCAACATAGTTTACATCTTGAAGGGAGAAGTCTAATGCAACAATCCTTAATTCACTCAACACAAGCCTTGAGAAAAGTCTAGTTTGTTGCTATATAGATAAAGTATGATGCAAATGAGTATATTTAGGCAACATTTCAGAAATTCTAAAACAACTTAAGCAGCCTTGTGCTCATGCAAAATGTACTTCATGAGTAGTTACTTTTGTATGTTTAGCAATAATAAAATTGAGCATTAAATATGTGTTTTGTGTGTTACATGCAACTACTCTCTAGATTGAGAGTGAATGTGCATGTACACTAATAATGTTGCTCTATAAAACAGTAACAAACTGCAATTTCACGGTGTTGATGGGGGTTTTTATGTGTATCTGTCTGCTGTTTAAAGTGATACTAACTATAGGTTTGTTTTAATTTGCTCCTTTTATACCTTTTACAAGCTTCCGTAGTGACTGTAATACACCTTGTCAATGCTGTTGTTGACTCGGTGGAAAAAGAAGGTATATACATGTTTTCATATTTATTTACTGCTTTGGCAGCATAATGCATGTTTGTTGTCTTACATTGTCTTCTAGTAATGTAGAAGCCAGATGTGAGTTATAGAATATTATTTACTTAGACTTTCTGATAAGTTATAGCAAAAAAATATATTTATCTTGTAGATCTGTTAATGTTTTCTTGAGTATGGTGTGGATGCCTTGTCAACAGGTTTCAAAGTGTATTTTCTTGGGAAAAAAGGGATTAGCATAAAAAGATCAGGGTGCTTACTCTCTTCTGAAAATATTAATACTAAAGCTGCCAGAAGAATTGAGACAACATCAAAGGCAAATACATGCAGTACTGTAGATGACTGCAGCAGCCTCTGCTTTCTTTTCTTCTCCCACCCACACCTGTTGACACCTTGTCCAGCTGAGCAGAATCAAAGTAGTCTTGTATCAGTACTCACTTCCTTGGTCTTCAGATCAATCTCTCTCTTAAGTAGAAAAAAAAATAGTTCTGTCTGCAGCTGAGATATGTAGGCATATACATCCTCCTCACTTTAGCTAGCTTGTTACTATGCAGCCTTACAACAGCACCTAAAACGTGCATTTGGGTATATGTACATACACATATTTTTGTGTGTATGTGTGTAGTATGTATTTGGAAGTTAGAAGGAGGTAAGGTAGGCATTTTCAATGGTATGTTATTTTATTTCTCCTAACATTTAAGAACTAACCACTCTGGGAAATACAAACTCTTTACAAAATAATATGAGTAATAAAAGTACCAGTGAGTCTATACAAATGCTAACTTGTTGTTTCAATTGATTAAATACTACTTTAAGTAAGTTCCAGTAAAAGGCAAATGATTCACTCCATGACCATGAATTTGCAGAGGTTTCTTCTGAAATAGATCCAGTCTATGCTTCCTATTTCGAAATACAGACTGGGAAACATAATGTTTTTTACTAAGTCCTACTTAAAATGAAGCCATTGTAAGAACATAAAATCTATTAGAGTAGCTGAAGTTTCACTTTAGTTTGTTATCTGAAGTGCACCCTTTTTAATTTACACAGGCACACAAAAAGTAGACAAATACAAGGACTTACAATTATTTGAGAGTATTTCATTAATGAGGGTGCCATTTCATTAATGTGTACCTATAGACAATAGCCTGTGCAAAAAAAAATTGCAATGCACAGTATTTGGGAATGGGAGAATTACAGGACTAAAAGAGGCCAGATGTACCAGGGGAAATATTTAATAACTGACTCAGATTTTCTCTAAGATTTTAATTGGTAGAATCTGAAAGTTATAGATGTAGTTTTCAAGTCAAAGATAAAAATATTGCCTGGTGTTTTAGTATCACCATAAGATAAATACAGACATTGTGTGTGTTGCAATTGTTGAGATTAAATATGTCCTACTCCAGCTGCTTCTTAACATTTGAGAGTTTCTGCTCTTAATAAGCATTTCCTCTTGATAAGCATCTTAGGTAAGGAGTTGTGCTTTTGAGCACCCTCAGGGAGGGTGTCAGTTCAAGCAGCAGAGATCCTTACTCAAGCCTGCAGCAAGAGCGTGTTCTGGGACAGATGGTCCATACCTTTAGTGTCCCCAAGTGTTTCTGTCCAACAGGCATCCTGGAAGCATGAACTGTAGCTAATCTCATCTAGGACAGTTTTGGGCCTCTATTCTCTGCGCTGCTCCTCAGGTTGTAGCAATGCTGAGTGCAAGAGAAAATACAGCTCCAATCCAGCAGATTGTCACATAAAGATGAGCACGTCCAGTTCTAGTTTGTGTTTCTGCTATTTACATTAAAGGGTCTTTGAGACTCTTAAAACATCTCTGGCCTTAACTCCAGGAGAAGGTTCTGATCGTTAGTCCACTTAGAAGACAACATTCTTCATTTTTCCTGGGAAATTGGGTGCAAAACTTGGAAATTGAGTGGAAATTTAGAGCACTTTCACCAAGGAATGTAGACATCTAGGTTTTCCTCTTCTTCTGAGGCAGAGTTCAGACTGACATCTCCATTAGTCTGAACAGTGCGTCTGGGCTAGGCAAGCTTAAAAATAAAGGAACTTCTCTCTGAAGAGTCCTCTGTCTCTTCAGTCTTCCCACAGATGAAAGTATGAATTCTTAGGAGAAGATTCTGCCATTAGGATAGTCATCACTCATCCACAGAGCCTTTAATAGGGAATATAGATTCCTCAATAGAGAAAGGTTTAATATTTAGCAGGGCAGTTCTCTGCTGAGTGTGAGTTGTTGGAATTGCTGTACAAAGGGGGAGGCAGGTTTCCCACTGCTTATGTATGGAAGCCAGACACTAAAGGAAGAGTTACCCTGATACTCAAGAGATACTTCTAAGTGTAACCACCAATAGATGGATCCCTGTATGAAAACACAATGGTAGATACAAGGAAAGAAAAAATCAGATCAAGTCCTACTACCTTATGTAGCATAAGTCCTGTATATACTGATCAGTATATACTGATACAAGGATTTCAGTAAACTCCAGACTGCAGATTTTACCCCAAGACAACCATGTCCCAGATGGGCTGTACATGAATTCAGTAGCTGTCCTACAGTTCAAGTCTTAACAAATAAGGAGCTCAGGAGAAAATTTAAAAAAATTTTAGTATTGCTAATTAAACTGGACAAAAACAGTGTGAATTTCATAGTGACTAGTCATTGTTTGTCTTCATATTGGTTCTACTATTTGATTCCTAACTACAGATGTTTTCTCCTTTTTCTTCTTATTCTGCCATCTAAAGAATCTTTTGCTGTTCCTGACCTCAGCAATTCAAGAGGTGACTTCTGCATGCAGTTCATTGATGTTCACCAAAATTTCTGTTAATATTTGGTTTTAACACAGACTTACTATCAGTTGCTTGCTGTGCATTTGTCTGCAGTGATTTCTTTTTACTAGATTTGTACTATATCACAACATTGTATTTTTTTATTGATGTTCAGATGAGAGAAATTATTGGGTTTTAGTTAGTTTAGGTTTATATCTAGTTTCCAGCAAATACAAACTTATTCAAAGGGAGCTTGCAAGAGAGGATCAAGTCCAGTCATTTTTGCATGATTAAGCTTGATTTTCCTGGTTTGTTCTTGTAGTTGAATGTCGAATGTCTTTACTAATAACGTAAGATTTTTATCAGAGGTGTTCCTGTAGAGCTAACAGCATTTTGTGAAACTAACTTTATAATGTGCTTGAGCGGCAGAGTCACTTTAAATGGTCTGAAATACTTTACCAAATAGGAATTGCTTCTTTTATCTAAGAAAGTAATGGTTTATATATGCTAACTATATTCTTAAGAAAAATAGGCCATTGTTATCACCCTAACTAATTACTCAGCAACAATTAAGTATTTAGCTGCACCAGGTAGGGTGTTGATTCTTTGCTATCCATTGAACAACTATGTATTGTGACAGCACATTCCATAGGTGACTACAGCTCTTCCCATGTTAGGTGTGATGTGTGGGAAAATGTAAAAGTTCAAGTTGTGAATGATGCACTATCTCATGCATGGCATGAAGTGAAGTTGTGTTGAATGTCTTTGTGCAACCAGGGCAAACTGCTGATTAACAAGTGGTGTCCTAATCACAGTGATTGTGTTGTCTTAATACATGTGTTGATTTCTCAGTTCAGACTGACTTGAATACAAGACAATAATACTATTTTTTTCTTTAATTAACTTTTCAGGTTATCACTGGGATACATCAGATTGGATGCCAAGTGTTCAGTTGCCAGGTATCCAAGAGTATCCAAATTACGAAGTGGTGGAGGAGTCAGCTCCCCTCTACACAGATCCAAATGCCATCGATACAGACTATTACCCTGGTGGTTATGACATAGAGAGTGATTTTCCACCTCCACCTGATGATTTCCATGCACCTGATGAGCTTCCACCATTACCACCTGAATACAGCGACCAGTTTGAGTCAATACAGCCACCCAGAGACATGCCAGCCGTAGGTAGCTTGGGTTCTTCCACAAGGAGCAGGCAGAGATTTAACCTTAACCAGTACCTTCCCCATCACTACCCTGCAGACATGTCAGAACCTCAGACCGCCCCCGGCGGCGGCGGCAGCTACAGAGAGCCGTTCGCTCCGTACTCGCTGGGGTTCAATCCAGACTTTGAGGCACCCCCTGCAGACAACATGTCCATGTCTGTGTACGCTTCCACAGCCTCCTGCTCGGATGTGTCAGCATGCTGTGAAATGGAGTCTGAAGTCATGATGAGTGACTATGAGAGTGGAGATGATGCTCACTTCGAAGATGTGAAAATTCCTCCGCTTGATTCCCAGCAACATACAGAAGTCTGACACACTCAACAAAAGTGCCTGGACTCTAACAAACTTTATCAAATCTAGAACAATTTTCAAGAGCTTTTTTTATTTTTTCTTTTTTTTTTCCCAACCACGGTGAATGCTTTTGTTTCAGTGAGCTAAACTGGCATGGCAGCATTGGATCATGCAGTTCATTTCACTAAATGAACCTCTTTCCATTTCCTGACCTACTGTATTTGGAAAGTTCTAAGATTTCCATTGGCTGTGCCATTTCTGAACATCCTTTATGTACTTACATTTTCTATGTTAAAAAAAAAAATCACATACCACTTCTCCATGTTAGCATGATGCGTATATTTATATAGTTCTAATGCAATTAATTTTCTCCTATTTTTTGTAAATTTTATGTACAGTTTTGATTTTAATAGTTTTAACTAGATTTTGTAGATATTTTGTGAATTTGTTTTCCACTGAAACTAGTGGTGTTAGTGTGCCATTAAAAATGAGCACCCTGACTTATTATAATCAGGGCATCACTGTATGTATTCCCCTGAAAAACTAAGGTTTGACATTTCATTGTAAAACATTCAACATATTCACACAATTTCAATTGTACATACATTAGGTCTGATATTTTTCTGGGTCAGCTATATGGAAATGTCTTAAATGGGTTGCTGTATTTTAGAACTGTAAACATTTTTTTCCCTTCTTGGAAAGTGTGTTGGGGACCCTCTGCATACCAGTTTAGAACCAAAACCACCATGACACAGTTTTTATAGTGTCTGTATATTTGTGATCCAATGGTCTTGTAAAGGTTTTTACTGAAAATTACCATTAGCCAGTCTTTCTTACTGACAATAAATTATTAATAAAATACTTTAGCTTTGCTCTGTGTATCTCTATTATATAATATACCATTGACAAAGCATTCAGTGCAGCATTTTTTAAGTCTGTATATGTTTTGTACTGTATTAAGTTACTTGCTCCAAGCAACTCCTTTTCCTCTCCTCTGAAATCAGCCTGCAGCTGTGTTAGCGATGCTCACAAGATGGCAGTGTGTGTCTGCTTAATGGTGTTTTTAAAAGTAATCGGGCCAGTCTGAATAAAGATTGATGGGTATCAAACTGCAGCAGCCTTCTCGGTAGTTTGCATTTTTCTTTAAACCTATAATATCAGCTATGTAAGTTGCTGAATATTTTTTCTCAAGTCACAAAAATATATACAAAGAAAATCCCCAAGATCTTTAAAGCAATTTCTCCCCTCCTTTATCACCTGAATACTTACTTTCATGACTAGTTACCCCTTGATGGTGCACCTGGCATGCTGAAAAGGCCATGCCATTGTCTGACTTTGTGCTGAACAGTTGGTGGTTTCCTGCAATTATGTTTCAGTTGCAGTTTCTTACATTAAGTTCACACTAGAATTTCACCTTGAAGAAGTAAAGGTGGATATTGTTTTCCTGTGTATTATCCAGCTGCTTTTCTGACTAGAAAAAAACAAAGCCTTTAACAGAGTTCTCTAGCATAAATTTGGCCTGATGGTAAGCTAAAGGAATAATGTAACTGTCTTCTGCCTCTTGCTTGAGGGATGCTTTTTAAGTTCAGAACAGATTTCTTGGCACATTAGTGAATTTTTAATATAGCCTGGAATCCTTTCAGCTCCACCTCCATTTTGTTCCTACTGTCACAAAGTTCTGTAGCCTAGGAATATACAATATTAGATTCTCCCCCATCATGAGAGCTAAGCCTCAGCCTTCTACCATCTAGGGGAACAGGGTACTGTATTTGGAGTGCTATTTATATACAAAATGGAGCAACTCCCAGCTTGGCAGCTGTATAATGGAAATTGGGTGGATTACAGGGCACAGCCAGGCACTGACATTCCTGTGTTAACTTGCCTATATACAGGTTAAGAATCCCACGACTTATGTAAAAAGACTAAAAAAGTAATTTTAAACCCACATTCTGGCTGTGCACTGCAATATTCACCCTGATAACTAAGAGCATTTTGTACATCAGACTGTTAGAATGTTCTTAATTAATAGCTGTAGAAGAATCTTACAGAACTGTAAGCAGAGGGTGTCACACACTGTAGTAGTTCACATCACTGCTTAAGGCCCATCTTGAGTGAGGAAGGTTAAACTTACTCGAAGTTTTGCTCAAGATTTCTTAATATCTGCTACTTGGTAGGAATGACTCTTAGGTGACAGCAAGAGGAAGATGCTGCACAAATTTGCATTATTTCTCAGTTGATAAGGATTCCCAGAAAAGATGAAACCCTGCCCTACAAATGCATTTTATAAAGTTACTCATTTACAGAAGGGCTTGAAGACAGATTTTTAAAATTGAGACATGAAGAACAGGAATATCAACACTTAAATATACTTTTATTTGTAGTACTACAAACTGAAGGCTAACACAGAGCATCCAAACTAAAAAGGAGCAATGTCACATTATTCTACAATGAAATTCCATGTCAGTGTAAGAGAATGCTTTGTTGAAAGTATCAGAATATATATACATATACGTATTTTTTTACGTTTTCACAAGAATAGTGCTGCTAGGCAACACACAACACCAAGGTTCTACTTCACAGCAGAAAACAAGGCTGCATCATAAGGCTCACTTATGGAAATAGCAGGCATTTTCAACTCCACAGCTTTCAACAGCTTTGTTGTTGGTGTGTAAAGCAAGGACATGTTGGACAAATGCTCCCTTTGTGGGGAGCTCTTACTGCCTAATTCAGGCCCCGTAAGTGCAATCAAACCTATTTTGCCACACAGAGCTACAGCAATACACCAGATGAAGCTGGTGACATTTTAAACCCAATTAAAACTGATACAGCAGAGCTTAGCTGTTTGACTCAACAGTAGTTCAGCACATTCAAAAACACTGCCCATATGATTTACTTTACAAGCCAAACATTTTAAAGTCGGGGATTTCAGTGAAGTCACACATTCACTATAGTGCTGTTGTATTTTTCCTCATGTTGTCACAGCAAGAGGTTGAAGTTGAGATGTAGTTTGGTGTGCTTCAATTTGTGCCCATTCCAAAGGGTATCACTGAGAAGAGCCTCTCTGTCTTTACAGCTTCACATCAGGTATTTATAAACAGCATCAAGTTCCCCACTGAGCCTTCTTTTTTCCCCAGATTGATCAGCCTCAGTTCTCTCAGTCTCTCACCTGAAAGCAGCTCCAGTCTCTTAATCATCTTACCAGCCCTTTGCTGAACTGTAGTTAAGTCCCCCATGGAAGTATTTTTTTCTATTTTAAAATACTTATGAGCTAGTAGAACTTAAAGTTTTATTGAACAGATTTGAGTGAAGCTCATTGCAGCTTTGTCCATTCTACATTTTGAATGAATGAAATGTCACTTAGTCTTGAAGCAGAGAACAAACTGCAATTCTACCTGATTAAGAGTAATTGAGGCAGAAACAACAACAGACAACCCTATGAAACTTCTTTTATTCAATATTTAACAGACCTGGTCTGAGAACTCCAGGATGCAGACATATACACTTAGTAGAAGGAACATGACCAGAGTACCAGATTTGGGCTCCTTGCCCAAGGATATTTACTCAGATGTTTTTAACACTGTTCCTGTTCTACCCATGGCCTCCATGAAACAAGTAGTCCCAAGAAACCACAGGAGAGTTCTTGCACTGCCCAAGGGATGAATCCAGCCCTTGGTGGATCCCACAAATCTGAATCCACTAAAGCCAAAGAAGATATGAAATCTCTCTCTAACTGCAAGCTCCATTTTGAAGTAGAGGGGTAAGAAGAAATGCTCTATTTCCACTTTGAATCTGCCTGTTAAGCCCTTGAGGGAAGAGAGCTGTAGGAATTAGTCTGTGTTGTATGAAGGGGTCATGACTGATGCCTGTCTGCAGACAGACCATTAATGAATATGTTCACAAAGTGCCTCACATGTCTCCTGACTCCTCTTTGCCCTGGAGAAGCTATGCTGATTGCCTTGAATCACCTTCCTGAGCCTTTAGCACAGCTTCTAGGATGATCTCTTCCATGACTTTGCCAGACACAGAGGTGAGGCTGACAGGTTGGTCATTCCCAGGGTCCTTCTTTCTATCCTTTCTAAAGATGAGCACTATTGTTTCCCTTTTTCTAGTCACCTGGGACTTGACCTGGCTGCCATGCCTTTTTAAATGTCATGGAAAGTGCCTTGGCAACTACATCACCCAATTTCCTCAGGACTCTGGGATGTACCTCATTTGGTCCTACAGACTTTAATACTTTCAGGTTCCTCAGAAGGTCATGAACTTGATCTTTACTTACAGTTGGAGGGGCTTTGCTCTTCCAGTCTCCATCCTGCTGTCCATCCTCTTGAGAGGTGTAAGAAAACACATTCTCATTGAAGACTGAGGCAAAACAGCTCTGAGTAACTCAGCCTTTTCTTCATCCTTTTGTGCTGGATTGACTGTCAATGGACAAGGCAAGAGCTACAGCTGTCACTTATCTGGATTTCTGTAAAGCCTCTGACAGGGTCCCCCACAAAATCTGTCTACATTGGAGAGAGATGGATTTGATGGGTGGGCTGTCAGGTAGATAAGGAATTGGCTGGATGGTCACATCCAGAGGGTAGTGGTCAACAACTCAGAGTCATGAAGGACATTAGAAGTGGTGTCTCTCAGGGGCCCATACTGGGACCAGTGCTATTTAATATTTAAGTAATAAATAATAATGCAATACTTAACATTCAATAACTCTTTATATTTAAATACTTTAATATTTAAATATTAATTATTTAAAAATATTATTAATATTTTCATGACATGGATAAAGGGACCAAGTTCACTCTCAGAAAGCTGAGTGGTGCTGTTCACACACCTGAGGGATGGGATGCCATCCAGAGGGACCTGGACAAGTTCCAGAAGTGGAGCCGTGGGAATTTCATGAGGTTTAAGAAGACCAAGTGCAAGGTGCTGCACTTGGGTTGGGGCAACCCCCAGTATCAACACAGCTGGGTGGGGATGAACAGATCAAGAGCAGCCCTACCAAGGAGGACTTGGGGGTGCTGGGGGATCAGAAGCTGGATATGAGCCATCCATGTATGCACCTGTAGCCCAGGAAGCTACACAGGTCCTGGGCTGCATGCAAAGCAGCGTGGGCAGCAGGGCAAGGGAGGGTATTCTGCCCCTCTGCTGTGCTCTGGTGAGACTCTCCCTGTGTCCAGCTCTGGGGTCCAAAGAACATGAAGGACTTCAGCCTGCTGGAGCAAGTCCAGAGGAAGCCACCAATTTGATCAGAAGGATAGCACCTCTTCTATGAGGAAAGACTGAGAGAATTTGGATTGTTTAGCCTGTAAAAAGAGAAGGCTTTGGGGTGACCTATCTAAGGTCTTCCAGCACCTGAAGGGGGCCTACAAGGAAGATGGAGAGAGACTATTTACAAGAGCCTGTAGTGACAAGAGGAAATGGCTTCAAATTGAAAGAGAGTAGGCTTAGATGAATTATTAGAAAACAATTTTATTTTCTTTTCCTACTGTGAGTATGATAACAGACTAGAAGGGGTTCTCCAGAGATGTTGTGGATGCCCCATGTCTGGATGTGTTCAAAGTCAGACTGGATGGGCTCTGAGCAACCTGGTCTAGTGAAAAGTGTCCCAGCCCATGGCAAGGGCTTGTAACTGGATTATCTTTTAGGTGTCTTCCAACCCAAGCCATTCTGTCATTCTATGATTCACAAGCACTGTCTGGATCACTGCTCTGCGCACATCATCTGTGAACATCCGCACCAAGGTACCTGCAGGCTCCACATGAGGAGTCACACGTTTCACTGAAAGCTCTGCGCACGCTCCACACGTCAGACAACCAAGAGCTGGGTGCCTCAATTTCTTTAGAGCTCTTGCCAATAGCTCTTGCCAATTTTTAGTATTAAATGGCTTTCAAGCCCATACAAGCCTTCATAAAAATACTAAATAGGGGAAGCCCCCATTAAACCAAGCATGCTGAAGCAGACATAAATTCTGGCAGCATTTTTCATTCTTCCACAGCTGCGCTAGGGCTGAATGAAAATCAGAGAAGCACAGTGCAATATCCAATGAAGTTGCAAAGCAGGAATATGTGATCTTTGCTTTGATCTTACAAAGATTTAAGAGAAAGAGAATTACAATCA